GAAAATTTCTTTTATTGTGTTTTAGACAACACCATTTCGTGTTAACGTCAGTAATGAAATCGTCGAAGAACTCGATCGTGTTATTCAATCCTTCGACATTCATCCAATTAACGTACGAAAAGAACGATAAAACATGAATAAACATTCGAAAAATCCCTTCTTCAGGTCATTGATGAACAATCCGACAAATCTTTACTAAATCGACAAGTTCTAGAACGTTTTCCTGCAAGTGAACGTCGTACAATATCATCGATAATTCAATGGGTACCACCAATACCGAATTGGAATCCATGGATCGCATCAAATATCGATGAAGGTCCATTATCAACAGCAACAATGGAATCAATTAGTCAAGATTTACAAAGAGCAGAACAATACAAAACTGAAAATGATTTCAAATTTCGTTCACAAGAACGACAGAATTTACCCGTTTTTACCTATCGACAACAAATACTTGACCAAATCAAACAACATAATGTTATTCTCATTCGCGGTGCCACGGGTTGTGGAAAAACAACACAAGTAATTCGAAATGAATTTTCTTCGACTTTGACAAAGAAAGTCTTTAGATTCCTCAATATATACTCGATGATGCGATTGAACATGGTCAAGGTGCTTTTTGTAATATCGTTGTGACACAACCTCGACGTATAAGTGCAATTTCGATTGCTGAACGTGTGGCTTGGGGTGAGAATTTACCTTCTCTTTTCTAAGGTTTTTTTCTTCTCGTTTATTGATCAGAACGATGTGAAGAATTGGGAAGTTCGTGTGGTTATAGTGTTCGATTTGAATCAATACTTCCACGTCCGTATGGTTCAATACTATTTTGTACAGTTGGAGTTCTTCTACGGAAATTAGAATGTGGCCTTCGAGGAATTTCTCATATTATTGTTGATGAAATTCGTATGTTTAGTAAATTCAACATGTTTTTCTTTCTCATCTGATGTGTATTTAGATGAACGAGATATCAATACGGATTTTCTGTTGGTTTTATTACGTGATATGCTAAATGTTCATCCTGAAATGAAAGTAATTCTGATGTCTGGTATGTTGAAAGAGATATTCAAAGAAAAAGAAATAAAATTTTGTGAATTTTCTAGCGACGATCGATGTGACTTTATTTCGTGAATATTTTTTTAATTGTTCAATTATTGAAATCGAAGGACGTGTTTTCGATGTTCGAGAATATTTTCTTGAAGATATTATTCAATTATTAAATTTTCAACCAAATAATTCAATGACAAATTATCGAAAACAAAACAATCGAAATCGACAAATNTCAGGTAAAAATTTTAAAAAAGAAATTTTAACCAAACATAAGATCCATCTGTGATTAATAATCGATATTTATTAAATTCTTCTTCATTATTTAAATCGAGTCGATGAGGTGGTTTACCACTAACTGTACATGTATAATCTTTGATTTCACGATATTTCGGAAGACGACTTTGAATTTCTTTTCGTAAAGTTTCTAAACTTATCACAGGTTCATCGATTGTTATGGGATAATAATTTCCATAAAGAAAACAAAGACGAAAACTCGGCATCGTTCCGATGTTATTTTTTGTAATGGAAACAAAATAAAAGAAGAGAAATTTCTTTTTTTTTCACGTTCTGTTAAGAAAAGAAAACATTCGTCTGTGAAGTTATTCTCACCTTGAGAAGATTTGACTTTGGAATATTTTAGTGTGGGTGATGCAGCATGTACAATCGCATCAGCGACGAGTTTTCCTGAACCATTTTTACATGATGGAAAACATCTTCGGCATATGCATCGAAATCTCGCGGGAAATCGTTTCTCTGATCATGTGGCTTTACTCAATGCATTTCAACAATTCGAAAGAGAAAAGTAAAGATTGTTATCTCATACTGTTGCTTTGTGTGAAAAAATCAATTTGTAATACAGAAATCGAAATGGTGAACGAGGTGAAATGGAATTTTGTGAGAGAAAATGTTTGAATTTATCAACAATGCGAATGACATATGAAGCACGAGTAAATCAGATCATTGATTCGTTTGGAATCGGGTTTCAGCATGGTTTTTTTTGTCTTTGTAGAACCAACTTCGCGATATAATGATGATGTCAGGTTTTCCCGAAGAATGTCTCACATCACAATGGTTCGATGTCGAACAATCACATTCCAAATTAGATATCGTAAGATTTTCTTGAATTCAAATTGAATTTGGAATGGAATTTGTAGGTCATATCACTTCTTTGTTATGCACTTTATCCAAATGTTTGTTTTCATGTATCAAAACGAAAATTATTAACGACAGAAGGAAAAGAAGCATTGATACATAAAAATTCGGTGAATTGTGGACGTGAAATTCCCGTGTTTCCTTCACCATTCTTTGTTTTTACAGAAAAAGTAACAATATGATTGAAGAAACTTTTCAAATATTTGTATTTCTCCTAGATCAAAACTCGTGCTGTATCGGCTAAACAAATGTCAATGTCAACTCCTATTCAATTATTATTATTCGCGTCGGATCAAATTGATGTTGTCGAACCCAATTTAATCTGTCTCGATAATTGGTTCGAATTGGAATTTTCACAGAAGATATGTGAAGTTTGGATTTATTTAGGATTTTGTTGAATATGGATGTAAATTTGGCTTCGAAAATTGTGTCAATTCGACCAGCAATTGAAGCATTGATTGTGCAATGTACTCAAGATCCAAATCAAATTGTTAATCGTCCACCTGCGAACGATCAATTGTGTAATTTAATTCGACTTTTATCCGATCAGCAACTTGAACATGTTTTGTGTGAAAAAATCAACGACAACAATCAACAAAGTACAAATTCAAGGTAAATTGGATCTTCATATTGAATGTTTCCAAAAATTGAAAATCGTTTTAGTGAATCGAATATTCATTTTCAATCAAATGAATTATTTCCATCAAATCGAGGATATCATCATGGAAATAATCGTCGATCATTTAACAGACCTTTTTATCGAGGAAATTATTCTCAACAACAATCATATCGACCACAAAATGAGTAAGAAACATATCGAATAAGATCCTTTTCTTCATTTTCTTTGTTTTTAGTTTTCCTGGAAGTGGTTTTACTTTTCCAAGTGAACCATGTGAAAGATTTCCTTCGCCATCGTTCAACAATAAACGAACCTTTGACAATACATTTTCATCTTCAGATGAGTCGCGAGTGATATCTTCTTATCCACCTGATTGGACAAATCCTCGTGGTGCTTATTCAAATAGTTTTCGAGGTGGAAATAGATTTCCTCGCTTTCCGAAACGAAGTCGATCTCATTTTAACTAATGTTCATCTTTTATTTGTTTCTTTTTCTCATTAAATTGTGAAGAGAAAAAGATCTCTTCGTATTGTCTAATGAATTCATCAAATTATTCGTCAAGAGAATATTTTTTTCGATTTTTATTTTGAAAACGAACGTTTAAAAATACTTCGAATGAAAATGTCGTACAATTTATTTATTCGATATCATATTCTGGTTTTCCTTGGATATATCCATCTATAAATTTTTTCAATATGTCAAAAGGAACTTTGACTTTTTGTACACTCTCATTATTTTCCATATTTTGAACCCATTCAGCAAGTTTTGGTAGATTTCCATCAGCATTGAATTGAAATCCAGCGTCTTTTAAGAGTGGAAATCTTTCAAACCATGGCCATAACATATAATCAACCATTGCTGGTTTTGATCCACCGAAATATGTGTTTTGAAGTGCTTCTTCATATGTGGCTAAGCCTTTATTTATACTTTCAATACCTTCTTTTGGATCTCCTCGTAAAATTTTGTAAAAAGGACCGACGACCTGAAAGAAAACAAAGATTTTTTATTGAAATGAATAGTCTTTTATTTACACTGCTGAATCGTTCGATGAGAACACGTTGTTGGGCGCGAAGATATGGATCTGTTGGTTGTAAACGTGTTTGTGGATAGGCTTCATCGAGATAATCACTAACAATCAATGATTCAGGAATAAATCGTGTTTCTTTTGGTTGATTATCAATCCATTCTAAACTTGGAACTTGACCTGGAGGATTTTTCTTCAAATACCATTCAGGTTTTTCAGTAAGATTTATATGTATTTCTTCATATCTATTTTCAAAAGAAATTAAAATGTGAATCGTATTCAAAATCTTATTAATCGACTTACGGAATATTTTTCGCAGCTAAGACGAGTTTTGCTCGATGAACATATGGACAAAAACGCATTCCGTATAACCGTAATTGACCTTCTTTCAATGGTGGACATTCCGAACCTATATCAACGATTCACATGCGAAATATTCAAATAGAAATTTGTTAAAATACCCGATTTGAGATGTTTTGGAGCGTTGGACATTGTTGGTTTTGTTAAGAAAAAAAGATTTGATTAAACTTGATAAAAGTACCTTGCAGTTAACCTTTGTTCGCTTGTATTTATACCTCGACGAAGAAATATGCACTGTCATCATGTCAGATACACTTTTTTCCTTTCTTTCTTTCTTTCTTTCTTTCTGTTGTAAACTGCCAGTAAACGCTTAAGCAGGAAGAATATCGAATCACGTGAACCGATGTGCTGAAATATATGGCAGGAAAACGTGAATTTTCCTCTCAAAATAAACGATGATCTTATCCATTGATTAATCAATAAGCAAAAGAAAATCTTCCACATGTCATATTCATTCATATATGAATAATTACTTCGAATAGTTATGAAATGAAAAAAAAACAAAACAAGAACGAACACAATCTTTCTGATGATTTTTGTAGATGTTATGTGTTTTTATTAACTATTTAATGACAATTATTATTTGAAAAGATCTTTCGGAAATAAAATATCCAACAGACATTTTAGAAAATCCATATAATTTTTCATTTATCACAATCAGTTTTTTTTCTTTCCTTATATTTTCACGTCGTTGAATTTACTTTTCGATTTTCCAACCAAGGTTCGCTGTATTGATCATCGAAAAGGAAGTAACTAATATCTTATTTCAATACAAAACGTCTTAAGTGAAGAAATAGTTTTATGATAAAATGTTTTGTCTGGAAAATTGTCATCAGTTGATATTGATATTGTTGTTTCACATGTGCAAATGTAGAATGTACAAATCACATGTCTATGACTTTTATTTGTCTTATTTCTTCATTATTAAGAATAAACATTAAGCAAAGACAAACTTAAAGATATTTGGAGAAAAGCTTTTATTAAACTCGATTGTCTGTAAATAAGTATTTTAAGAGTTTTTTAAACTGTCTGAATACCAATCGTCATATACTAAAAACCGTAAAGTATCGTTGAGATGAAATATTTTAGTTTGTACAAGAAAAAGAAATCATGATAATGATCTTCAACTTCTATGTTTTAGATCTTTCAAGTTTGAGAATTACTATTCAACATATAAAATAACTGTTAAAATGAACTATTAGAAATTGTGGATCCTTGTACAAATCATTGATATATTTAGCAATTATGTTTCTTTACTTAAATGATTTTCTTTGTAGAATTCATGTATATTCTTTCAACAATAGCAGTTAGTCGAAGATCTGATTATTCTCTCATTGTTTCGAACGCACAATCAGAACTAATATAGACGAGATTTATTACTTAAAAGTAATGCGTTTCCAAGTTTTTGTTGGAGAAAGTGCAGAATCAAACAGGGATATTTTCCGTTTTTGAATAAATTCTATGGATGAGCATTGTTTATGATTATCATCGAAGATCGAATCTATTTACGAAAAATGATCATGAATTTTCTATTATTTCGAAGAAAAGCTTTTTTTCTTTACTCAGCGTGTTTGTGAATGAATAACTAAGAGACACTTTCCCGTCATTCTCTTCAATTTCAGTGCACTTTCAAATCTTCACTTTATTTGACACTTTCATCTTTTCTGAGGTATTCAGTGCATTAGTTTTATCGACCTTCTTCTTCCGAATGTCTCATTACTTTTGTTCGCACTTGTTTTGTGAACGATCTTTAAAAAATCGTTGTTTATGTAGAACATCTGACAGTGTAAAGAAAGTTTCTGCTTTAGCAAAGGAGATTAACATGCCGAACATTTTTTTGTGAGAGACGAAATGTTGGACACACATCAAAAGTTACTTCGGAAAGGTTTTACTTTAAACAACTAGCTAATGAAAACCGATAAACCTAAATTTGTTTGTTATGGCATGTAAAACAATCGAAACGGAGAAGCAAAAAAGTTCGTTTTTGCGTTTGGGAAGTTTCGATATACGTACAAGGGAGTTTTATAAGAATCCACATCGAGTTCTCATTTAGTTTCAACTATGATGATCAGTATGACTATTCAAGCTGAGTCATAATGCGAAGCTTTCGAAATAAAATTGAATGTGGCTTGAACAGTGATGAATGAATAGAATGAATAGAAAATTGTTAATTTTAAGTCGTAGTGACGAAAGAGTATTAACAGGAAAACTCTTTTTATTTATTTCTTTGATCTGTCACTCATTTTCATTATCTCTTAGGATACCTACTAATAATAAGTGTCGAAATGACCATTATTTCTTTCAACTGTAATTAACCTCTTGAACATCTTGAGAGAAACTATGAAAACTCGTATTTTTAAGTGACCTATCAGATGCTTAGAGAAAAATTTATGACACTTCTGCGAACAAAACTCACTTCTCAGTACAGAAAACTATCGAGCATCTCGTATAGTTGAAAGAGTTTCTGAACTACATATCTAATAATATATAAAAGTAAACGATAAAATGAAACAAATTTCATTTTCCCTGGAAGCACAAATTTAGAAGCAAATAAGAAACTATGAGAAATATCAATTTATACGATAGAGTGTCTTTTTCTTTAATCGTATGAATTCATCTAACTTTGAATTTCAGAATGAAAAGGATCATATCAGAAGTGTACTCTGGTTTATTTTTATTTCTTGTATTAATATCAATTCCATCGAATGTTGAAAATAGTTTAATAGATTGGCAATCATCAACGAATTTATCAAACGTTGGTTTTCGATTTCGGCCTGTTAACTATCAAGCTTTAATTCTAGCTGAAGTTACAAGTAAATCTTTATTCACATGTGTTCGAACTTGTCATTCAACAAGTGGTTGTCGTATACTCGATTATGATGATCAATCAAAATGGTGTCGTTTGTTCGAAGGTAATATTGCAACAATGGGCTCCATTGAGAATTCTTCATCTTCTCAAATGCGTGTCGGATCAAGAAAGTTTTCTCCACAACAATTTATTAATCGTGGTCAATCATGTTCATTTTGTCAAGGTAGTCGATACTTACAATGTCTGAATAATACATGTCAATGTCAACAAAACACGTATTTTGATGGAACAATGTGCCAAAGTCAGAAATTACTTGGCGCTCCGTGTTATAATGCAAGCGAATGTCGACAAGATTTGAATTATACATGTCTAGCACGGCAACAATGTGGTCGTAAGTATCTTCTATCTATCCGATATATAAAAAAGAATTCTGCGTTCGAATATTAATTCAAGAGAAGAATATACGTATGATAAACGATCTCCTTTTTTCTAGCGGCATCGATACAAACCGCAACTATTGTTGCTGGCTATAATAATGGTCAATCTGGAAGTGATTCAACTGGTCTTTCTAATCCTACTGGAATATCACTAGGAATCGATAGTGCACTTTATGTATCTGACTATAGTAATCATCGTGTTATGAGATATCCAGAAGGTTCTTTGTTGGGTTCAAGAGTTGCTGGTACAGGATTTTCAGGTAGTGGTACTAATCAATTGTACGGACCAACTGGTGTTCATGTTGATAAGTCATCTAACATCTACGTGGCAGATAGTATGAACTATCGAATAATGCTCTGGAAGATGAATGCATCAACTGGTGTTAAAGTAGCTGGTACTGGCTCCGTAGGCAATACGTTGAGCTCTTTCGGTGTCATAGCTGGCATATTTGTTGATCAACAAGGGTATATTTACATTTGCGATTCGAGTTATCATCGTGTTATGAGATTCTCACCGAATATTACAAATGGTATCATCATTGGAGGAAATGGTATAGCAGGTTCCGGTAATAATCAACTAAACTCGCCCTATGGAATCTACTTTGACGAAGTCCAATCGTTTGTTTATGTTGCTGATTCAGGCAATAATAGAGTACAACGTTTTCAAGTAGGTGGATTGATGAATGGAACTACCGTTGCCGGTGGACATGGTGCAGGATCTGCAAATGATCAATTGAATAATCCATATTCAGTATGTTTCTCAACAACGAATAATGCGTTGTATATTGCAGATCCAGGTAATCAACGAATACAATTCTGGTATTTGGGCGCAACAAATGGATTAACTATTGCAGGTAATGGAGCAATGATTGGAAATAGTTCAACGATCTTAACAGGGTCTCTTGACATCAGAATAGATGTTAACAGTACCAATCTGTTCGTCAGTGAAATGAATTACAATCGAGTATGGCGCTTTCCACTCCTTTAACAAATTTCAACATTTAAGTTGAACTATAGAACATATTAATATTCTTTGCATATATTTTAAAGTATTGTACGTGATTGAATATATATTGTTTGAAATAAAGTTTCTTGTGTTCATATTAGTGATTCAGATTGTTCAAACATTCTTCACCGAGTTTCATGATTTTTCAGTAGAAATTCCTTTTCTCAAAATGGAGTCGTAGGACTTAGAATAGTAAATTTACTTACATTTTCTTTCAGTTCACACTTGTTTCTTTTCGGTAAGATTACAAAACAACACACATTTATACATTCAAACTTCCACTAACTCTTCTACTGAACCATATCGATGTGATTAATCAATGATCAGTGCATATAATCAAATGATTTATATATTTGTTGTATAGTTTCATCATTGAGTACATTTGATTGATTATTACCATAAGCTTGTATCTTTTCTTTTTCGCCTTCTTCTTTCGTACTCGTGGAGATTATATCTGTGACGAGTAATGTAGAGAAGCTTGGTCATCAAAAACTAAACGACAAAGATGAGTGATGACACGCTTCAATCATCACAATCAAAAGAGTCCAATACACAACGAAAACTTGTTCGGTTTGTTTTGAGTAAAATTTAAATAGATTTGTTTGTAAAAAAAATGTAAATATTTCAGTTTAAAACAAAATCTTCCTAAACGACGACGACGAAATTTAGTTCTTCCAATAAATCATCGTCGTAGTATCTTAAAGTACAACTATTATCATTCAAAGTCAATTGTTTATTTGTCTTTTTCTTTAAGAAATATTCTTATTCGTAATGGCGATAGTTTAATTCATGTCTCCGCATTCGACCATCATTTACGATCAAATAAAGATCAAAATTCCAACGAACAAAATATCATTACAATCAATGTTAGTGGAAATCGTTATCAAACTCATTTATCGACTCTCGAAAACTATCCGAATACTTTATTGGGTAATAAACAGAAACGACATTACTATTGGAACGATGAAAATAAAGAATATTTCTTTGATCGTCATCGCGCATGTTTTGAAGCAATTCTTTATTATTATCAATCGAATGGACGTCTTCGTCGACCAGATTATGTTCCATTAGATACATTTTTAGAAGAAGTTTCCTTTTTCGATCTCGGTCCAAATGCTTTGTCACAAATCAATAAAATGGAAAATGTTTCAATTGTCAAATATATCGATTTACCAAATTTATTATGGCGTCGATACATTTGGTTCTACATGGAATATCCTCAACATTCGATGTTTGCGAAAATTCTTTATTTTTTTTCGATGATCATCACTGTTTTATCGTGTCTTGAATTAGCAATTGAAACACTTCCCGAATACAATGACAAATGGAATAATTTATGTTCTAATGAAACTAATTACACATATCCAGAAAATAATATTCCAATATGTTGGACAGTATTTTCTTCGCCATTTTTTATAATACAATCGGTTTGTGTATTTTATTTTACAATTGAATTTCTTTTACGACTAATCAGCACACCGTCGTATTATCGATTTGTTTTATCGATTTATAATTGGATTGATTTGGCTGCGATTGTACCTTATTTTGTGTTTTTGGGTTTGGCACTTAGTCATAAAGCATCGGATTTGAATGGAAGTAGTTTCGTTGGATTGAGATTACTTCGAATTTTAAGATTTTTACGCGTTTTTAAATTCTATTTGGTATTTCGACAATTAAAATCATTGAGAGTACTCAGTTCAACATTGAAAGAATCATTTGTGGATTTTGTAATATTGATTGTCATTTTAACACTCGTGGGTTTTCTTTTTGGCTCAGCTGTTTATTTTGTTGAACAAGAAGAGAACGGACAAGTTTTTGATTCGATTCCAAAAGCAATTTTTTGGGGAATTATCACGATTACAACTGTTGGGTAAGTTTACTTATATCAACTAATCTTTTTTCTATTTATATCTGTTCATTCTTCGAATTGTTTGGTGTTAAGATATGGTGATATGTATCCGGTGACCGTCGCTGGACGAATTTTGACATGTATGTGCGCTTTCTTTGGTGTGGCAATTAGTGGAATGTTGGTGTCAGTTCTTGTCGGTCGTTATCAACGTGTTTATAATCGAAAAATGTTCTTTCCTGAACAAATTCTATCAGCAATTGATGAATCAAGTACTGAACAAGATGAAAAACAAGAATTTATCAATAAAAGATTAAGTAAAGTACCACGAAAAACAGTTTTTAGCACGATAATTCCTCCAGTAACTCCAAGACCTTCTGTTGTTTCATCAATTGATTATAAAAACTATCTCGACTCGAAGAAACTTTCGTCATATAAGATTCAATTCGTTATATCGATTTATGAAAGTCAAGGAAAATCGCTGGACAACTATTCGATGGATTTAATGGAAGAATTAAAAGAAATCGTTCACAATCGTGATTTAAACATTCATTTGAAGTTAATTAATCCCAGAGCCAATTTTCCGGATAAAAGTCCGATTCTAACAAGCGACAAATTACCTCATATTTCTGAAGAATAGATGTCGCACATTCGCATCTCTTCAATAGATTTGTAAATTTTTTCTTGAAAATTTTTCTTGATATTCTTCATAAATAAATCTATTTGTATTTCAACTGGAAGAATTTTCATAGAGGTAAATTTGAGTGAAAATCCATTTTGTACCAAATGACATCTTGGCACATAATTCTTTCGTTCATTCCAAATTCATCGAATTGTTTTTTCCAAAATATTTCTCTCCTCAATGTCAGTTTCTTCTACAATGTGTCCACCTCATTTAATCCCAGTTGATCCACGTATTTATTGTGAAACAATGAATGAACTTCATTCATATTTAACTACATGTAAACGTGGTTATTTAACTCAAGCTGAACTTTTTCGTTATTATCGTCAACGACATGAAAATGCAGAAATACCTTATCGACTATTAGGTTATCGATCATTACTTGATTTACTAAGTAGTGATCCACGTCTTTTTGCAATTGATTTACGTCGTGAACCAGCTTATGTTTATTCAGCAGTCAAAGTAACGATTTTCAACCGCGACATTTTCTTTACTTTTTTTGCTTTTCGTTTAGCTTCGACAACAAAAACGAGAACGACGACGTGGGTTTTTTTTTCCATAAAATTCCCTTCCAACGAATTTCATTGTCCTTTTTTTATTTTCCAGAAGGAAGCACAAGTTTTTCTCGTCAACATCATTCAACAAATACACTTGATGATCAACAAGAAACACCACCTGATCATGTTTTCTTCGTAAGAACAGTCATTTTATCATTCATATTCGAATTGTTTATTGGATTTCAAAGGATCATCATCTTGAAATAAATGAACAACAACAACAACAAGAAAACGATGAACCAACACTTCATATTCAAAATGAACGTCCATTAACACCAACTAATCGTGATCATTTCGAAGGTAATGTTTGGGTAAGTTGTTGAAAAAGAAATCTTCAATATTTGATTTTGAAATGGATTTCTTTCAGCAAACACCACAATTAGATAAACAAATCAATTCCGAGGAGAGAGATGAAGAAACAAATCCATTTGTAACAAATGCCTTTTTACCATTACCAACTGTTCGTCATTCATTGGTAATTCTTTTAACAATTCAAATATTTCTCTTTGAAAGAATCTCTTTTAGGATCTTAACGAAACTTCGTTTAATAAATGTGAAAATCAATATTCGTCACTTCAACGAAGAATTCTCACACAAGATAATGATTATGATGAAAATAAACGTTCATTTCTCAGAGTAAATCTACCTTCTTAACATTTTTCTTAACTAAATATTCAAAATTTCTTTAAGGATGGTTCTCCTATCATGAAATTTTCCTCGAATCGTTTAAATCGTTCAATAAGCACATCAACGACATCGTTATCGAAGACATATTCGTTTCATATTGTTGATGCTTATATATTTTTATTCACTGTTGTTATATCATTTATTTTCCTTGGCATTTATTTGTTGAAAATTTGTTAATTCTCGTTTGTTTATTTGTTTTATATTTGTGAAAATCGTGAAGAAGAAACAAGTTTTTATTTTACTTAGTTTGTCTTTATATTTGCTCCTTTTTCTTGTTTTATTAATAACACAGAAATTCAATCTGTTCAGAAAATAAACTCGAGATCAGATCTCTTTGTCTTATTTTGTTTGCAGAACAATGAGAGATGATGAAAAGACGAAAATTTATGAAAATCTTAAACAAGAAATACGTTCGTTATTAATTAGTTCACCAAAAACCAAATATGGAGGTTTGACAGGTGCATTGTTATATTATGATTATAAAGAATTAAATTGTGGAAAAGAAATTCCATGTAGGTCAATCAATTTGAGAAAAGATTTTCATCGATTCATTTTTAACTTTATTTAGATGCTGAACTTGGTTTTCATTCATTGTTGGCTTTGTTACGTTCCATGCCGGATGTTGTAACAATTGAATATAAATTAAATAGTTGTTCGTATCGAGTTCATCCAGTTTTCAATGAGAAAATAGCGCATATTCAGAAAATGGTTTTAGAACAAAATGATAAATATGAAGAACAAAATCGAGTAAAACAGATTCAATCAGAATCCATTTTGATCTATTTGATTTCGTTTTAGTTATATAATCAAAATTGGTATTTTAATAATTCTAATACAATGAATTCAACAAATTGTAAAAGTCTTCTCTTTCATTTTAATGAACTTTCTAATCCTATTTTCTTTCCAGTTTATCATCACAATGATTTTCCATTCAAACAGAAATCTTCATCTTATTGTAAGTCATTTTTTGACGTTAATTTTTTGGAAATTTCAAATATTCCATTTAGCTGAAAATACATTTAATTATATGAAATCCAATTTTCAGGTATGTAAATATGATCACGTTTAGAAAATTACCTAAATGATCTTATTCAAGATTCGTGCTTATGAAATACCAAAGCATTTTCAAGAAGAAAAACGAACATATTCTAATAAATCAAAAGAGAAGATAAATTTTCAATCGATTGATTTATCTTCTCATCTTTCGTCAACGTTATTTGATCATCATGAAATTTCTTCAACTCCAAATACATTCATTGAAACTTCTTCTAACTTTGATCTCGATGATTATCGATTAGATCAATCATCAAACATCCGGAACGCATGTGCACATGATGAAAATAAGTTTTCAATAATAATTGATAGTAAGAACATTCTGAAGAGTTTCGAAAATTCCATTTCTCTTTTGTTTTAAGAAGTATCTATGAGTACTGAATATTCTCCCGCAACACCGGCATTGATTGTTGCACAAGGTAAGTTTCTCTCTTTAATTGACGACACGAAAACATAATGAAGAATTTTCTAGAAAAATCACCATTAAACAATGAATCACTTGTTCACATTTTTTCTGATTGCAATGAACAAAGAGAAGTAATTATGATTTCATTCAATGTTAAATTTATTAATTATTTGTTGATACCTTTTTAGTGTGAGAATGATGAAGATGAAAGATTGCTAAAACGTTTAAATGCTGCCATATGTAAATGTCTTCATTTTCGTTATATTCATCGATTATGTGAATTAAAATTTCAATATCGTTATTATCCATTGAGAAATGACACCGTCGCAATGAAATCTCAACTGGAAAGTCTTGCTTATGATCAATATAAAAAAGATTTAGAAGAATTTCAAAAGAAATTTCCAATAGAACGTTTGATTGATCATCATTTATGTGGACAGATTTTTGATGAATATGTTTATTTACAAAGAAATTATTATTATATGAACAAATTACTGAACACAAATCGTTCCCACAATTAACGAATATTTCGAGTTTTGTTTTATACGTATTGAGAAAGATATACTGTTCTTTTTCTTTTCTGTTATGTATTTAGTTGAACTAAAAATTGTATTTCATTAAACAAGAACCGAATTTTGAACTTTGAATTTCACGCATTTTATGATAGATAAATCGTTAATACCATCGATATCAAGCTAGTACCATGAAATCAAAGTTTAACTAAAGCGGTTTTTTATGAAAGGCACTTATTTAATACAGAAACCCTTTATCCAAACCTTGGCCTCATCGTGCTACCTTCACATCGATAGTTCCGATAACGCAGAGTATTACTTTTGAGTCATACCACAGTTTATTCAACCAACGCATTGGCTCTTCTTTCAAATTAAATCTTCAAAGCTCATTCTGCAAATTTCACCAAAAACTACAACAATGCATCGGTCTTTAAAAGTTACATGTTTTCACAAACAAATTACTGTCTTTCAACAGCTTCATTTTTCCATGTGAGCCGCGACGCCAATAACATAGCTTCCCCTTTACATGTTTCACGCTTCTCTCCAGGGCTGAAAGCTGAGGATGAGTTGCTGGCAATGGCTGTTTAGCAATTTCTCTACCACGTTCCAGAAATATGCAACCTTTTGCGTAATCACCCATAGCACCATACACCAGACCGATGTTGTTGTAGGATGTAGCTAAACTAGGATTATTTGCGGGAAGTGATTATTGTAGAATTGAAAGACCTTTCTCATAGTATTGAAGTGCTTTGGCATAGTCACCCATATGATCATACACCAGACCGATGTTGTTGTAGGATGTAGCTAAATCGGGATGATTTGCGGGAAGTGATTGTTGTTGAATTGAAAGACCTTTCTCATAGTATTGAAGTGCTTTGGCATAGTCACCCATATCATGATACACACTACCGATGTTGTGGTAGGATGTCGCTAAATCAGGGTGATTTTTGGGAAGTCATTGTTCTCGAATCGAAAGACCTTTCTCATAGTATTCAAGTGCTTTGGCATAATCACCCATAGCATCATACACACCACCGATGTTATTGTAGGATGTAGCTAAATGGGGATGATTTGCGGGAAGTGATTGTTGTTCAGTTGAAAGAGCTTTCTCATAATATTGAAGCGCTTTTGCATAATCACCCATACCATCATACACCACACCGATGTTGTTGTAGGATAAAGCTAAATCAGGATGGTTTGCGGGAAGTGATTGTTGTTTAATTGAAAGAACTTTCTCATAGTATTGAAGTGCTTTTGCATAATCACCCACATGATAATACACCAGACCGATGTTGTTGTAGGATGTCGCTAAATCAGGATGATTTTTGGGAAGTGATTGTTCGCGAACTGAAAGGCCTTTCTCATAGTATTGAAGTGCTTTTGCATAATCACCCATATTATCATACACCGCACCGATGTTGTTGTAGGATGTAGCTAAATGGGGATGATGTGCGGGAAGTGATTGTTGTTGAATTGAAAGACCTTTCTCACAGTATTGAAGTGCTTTTGCATAATCACCCACATGATAATACACCAGACCGATGTTGTTGTAGGATGTAGCGAAAGCAGGATGATTTTCGGGAAGTGATTGTTCGCGAACTGAAAGGCCTTTCTCATAGTATTGAAGTGCTTTGGTATAATCACCCATATGATAATACACCAGACCGATGTTGTTGTAGGATATAGCTAAATGGGGATGATTTTCGGGAAGTGATTGTTGTAGAATTGAAAGACCTTTCTCACAGTATTGAAGTGCTTTTGCATAATCACCCATATGATTGTACACACTACCGATGTTGTTGTAGGATGTAGCTAAATCGGGATGATTTGCGGGAAGTGATTGTTGTTGAATTGAAAGACCTTTCTCATAGTATTGAAGTGCTTTTGCATAATCACCCATATAATAATACACCGCACCGATGTTGTTGTAGGATGTAGCTAACCGAGGATGATTTGCGGGAAGTGATTGTTGTGAAATTGAAAGACCTTTCTCATAGTATTGAAGTGCTTTTGCATAATCAGCCACATGATAATACACCAGACCGATGTTGTTGTAGGATATAGCTAAATGGGGATGATTTTCGGGAAGCGATTGTTGTTGAATTGAAAGACCTTTCTTATAGTATTGAAGTACTTTTGCATAATCGCCCATATGATAATAGACCAGACCGATGTTGTTGTAGGATGTAGCTAAATCGGGATGATTTTCGGGAAGTGATTGTTGTAGAAATGAAAGACCTTTCTCACAGTATTGAAGTGCTTTTGCATAATCACCCATATGATAATAGACCAGACCGATGTTGTTGTAGGATATAGCGAAATCAGGATGATTTGCGGGAAGCGATTGCTGTTGAATTGAAAGGCCTTTCTCATAGTATTGAAGTGCTTTGGTATAATCACCCATATGATAATAGACCAGACCGATGTTGTTGTAGGATATAGCTAAATCAGGATGATTTTCGGGAAGTGATTGTTGTTGAATTGAAAGACCTTTCTCATAGTATTCAAGTGCTTTTGCATAATCACCCATATAATAATACACCAGACCGATGTTGTTGTAGGATGTCGCTAAATCAGGATGATTTTTGGGAAGTGACTGTTCTCGAATCGAAAGACCTTTCTCATGGTATTGAAGTGCTTTTGCATAATCACCCATATTATCATACACCAGACCGACGTTGTTGTAGGACGTTGCTAAACTGGAACGATGGGAAGGAAAAAGGTTTTCTTCAATCGCTACTGATCTGTCATAATACTTTATGGCTTCTGAAAATTCACCTTTTTGATGTTGGGTACTGCCAAGTTGATGATAAATGTTTCCCAAATCTTCGTCTTCTGATGCATTGCTTAGTAAACTGTAGCAGATCTCTTCAGCTTTGTCAGTGTGATTGAGTTGAATTAACAGGTTTACTAGCCCATACCAACCTTTTACGGAGAGAGAATCCTCTTGAAGAAAGTGGTCAGCAAGCACACTCAGTTCTTTGTCGGAATCACTAGTAAGTGATAAATCTACTTCGTACATTGGTCGATCAGTGCCGATGGATTTGATGTCGTGAATGTGAAATACGCTGTGCATTGAAAATAGTACTTCAGCTTCGTGCGAAAAGTAACTAATCTTTTCAATCAGAGCAAATGGTGCGGTTGATTCACTTGGATTTATTTGCATGTTGAAAAGAATACCCAATAAATCAGGATTGTATGCGCTACTTTCTGCGTAGACAAACGAAACATCACGATCTATAGTGGTGGATAGGAAGTTGTTGAATGAGACGAGTCCACCTTTCGCTTGCCTTAGTTGTGCAAAGTCTGCTTTGGACAATCCTTGTCCACGATAGACTATAAAAGTCATAGAATAAGGTGTGTCAAGAAATTGTTCTTTGTGCAGTTTCTCAATGTTTCGATGAAGATCTGTGATAAAGAATCCCATTGGCACAAGAATATCGGGATCCAATATTCGGAGTGCGCGATTAAGCATAGAATGAAGGACGGTACCTTTAGTATACCACCAAATGGGTTCTTTCGTACGATAATCACGCACTAATTGATCAATACCACGAGACTGCTTATCATCGACAGTTAACAGTCCAGGATAATGTTTGATAAAGTCTGTGATATGTTTATCGTCAAAATCGATAGATAATAGAATCTCTTTGAAGAATTGTGTATACATAAAGAGTGGATCGAGTTGATCGGGTCTTCGTCCAGTTGCTATAAAATTCATTGGCATGGCATTCTGTTCGTATCGACGAAATGTGTCTTCAATGGCTTTACACACTGAGACTGTGTCGATAAAAACACCTTTTACCTTGATCCAATCTTTTGTCCATTGTTCATGACGTAGTTTGTTTTCACAAAAGATAAAGAGACAATCCAGTTGTGGAATATCATGTATACAAGGCACAAGAGATCGTCCTAACGAGCCAGAAATGATTAGGTATACTTTATCTTGATCGCTATTCAATATAAATTCGACACATTCGTCGTTGTCTGAAAATATCTCGACAGTATTAACAAGTTGTTGAAGTTGTTTAATTGTGTATCGGCGATCTTCATTGTTACTATCGATATGGTTGTCCAGCCAAGTCACGACAACACTTTGCATCATTTCGACATCAATAGGTTGCCAAGTGTCCGCCTTTTCGACGGTTGTGACTATTTTCCTAGTTGACATTGATCCGAATGATTCAAGCTGCACCGGGTTCTGAGACCAAAGTAGTACTTAAGTTGGAAGATTTGTTGGTTTTCTTTTGCTCTATAGTATCTACGCACAATTTTCTCTTCCTCGTCAATTGTTTTTATCTTGAAATGAAGTCAGCAGCTATATCGGCGGATAACAACCGAAGAACGAAAAGAAATGATTGTGTACCTATACAGACAAAATAGGTAAAAATATGCGTTTTTACGCATGAGAAAACGCACATTTTCATTCGTAAAAGCGCATTAAAATATCGTGTAATACCCCTAGAGAGGAATCGGCTTTCAATGTTCGAATATTGGTGCAAGTGGTTTTCCTCAAAATAAAGCTCTTTTTCCGACGTTGGAATTCACATTTGCACCAGTTATTACTAATGAAAATGTGCGATTCTAACGATGTAGAGAAATAGGATTTGCCTGTCTGAGTACAGACTATCTTCTCTACTGTGCAAGCATTAACGACATTGCCAAATTTTCTATGGCTGAGTGGTAGGTGTCTCAATCTTCGATACGCCAGTTTCAGATGCATTTTGACTGATTCTATCGATTTCAAAGATGGTACTTTCTTTCTCTCTTTCATCCTCCAAGTTTAATGCATTTTGAAAAAAGCTGTTCAAGTGACAGGTGCTTTCTCGTCAGATTCTTTAATTTCCGAATTAGGAAGTATGTTAAGAAAAAAAGAGCCTTTAAATACTTAGTATAAGTAGATCTTGTCGGTGTACCTCGACAAAAATCGAAATTAATCTCTTAAGAATCTATTGATTAAGTCAAACATTAAGTTATTTAAAGAAGATTTATTAGAAGAAATTATGAACTATAGAAGGCTAATCAACGTATTTACACTGGTATTCAATTGAATATATTACCATTGGTCAACGATGTAGTTGTTTTATAGATTTTAGAAACTAATGCTAAGCTATTTTGAGAGTGCATTGAAATTTCTCACCATTGTGTAGATATAAATGATCACCTCTTGGATCTAGACGGATGAAATCAATTAGTTTATATTTTTCTTGATTCACCGGAGAAATAAATGACGCAACTTGTCTTGCTATCTCGCATAAGTGAGATGTTTATATCTTCCGAATGATTGAACATGACATGCTGAGTCAAAAGTTGGAAATATCTAATCCACCATTAATGAAAATATACTTTATATTCATTGATCAATTCATTGTACAATGCAATGGTGGACTTTGAACAAACATTTATCGCTTCAAATTGAGATTTCTCAATAGATTGTACTTGAAATCAGATGGAAGATCATATCTTTCGTTTTATTTCTTTTGTAACTTAAAATAATTCGAATGATATTGTCCCTCTGTAAATGGCAGACGGAGAATAATCGTTAATTAGTTCCTTTTTAAAGAGTGGCTCGTCAATCTTTTTTTAGTTTCTCAAATTATTAGAAAAGGAAAAAGAAATCTGAATTAAGTTGACAAACACAATCATGCTTAAATGATAACAGCTTGAAGAGAATCGACTCAAATGACAGTAATTGAGGAAAAAAGAAAATGAGTTTAATAATAGATGAAAAATATAAAAAGAGAAGGAGAAAATATTTTCTTTTTCAAAAAAAAATTCTTTGAAAATGTGGCAAGAACAAAAACAAATGTCAACATCTCCATTCGATTGTGCTGTTTGTGGTGCTGGTGTTTACGGAAATAATTCCGATATTCGAATGTGTTTACCATGTAAATCATTCTTTCGACGTTATACACTCCTTCCAGCAAACGTTCGTGTTAACAAAAGTCTCTTTTCCTATTCACATCTTCATGAAAATTTTTAGACACTCAAATGTAGTCGAAATGGAACATGCGATATTGAAGTAACACGAAGATATTTTTCATCATCCGTTCCACCTTGTCGAGCATGTCGATTTCATAAATGTTTATCAGTTTCAATGAATGAAAGTTCAGTTCGACCACGTTCATCTAGTACTCCACCGTTTAATATGGTTGATAAAGTTCTTCTTAAAACATCATTACTCGATGAAAAGTCTGTTCCATCAACCGTAAGTATCTTCAACCATATAAAAAAAGAGATTTTTTTCTTTTGTTATTTACTCTTCCAAAGAAACAAATCGATAACGAAAATTTAATGTTTACTCGTCCGCGCTGTTCAAGTGATGTTAGCGTTTGGCAACATCAGACGGATTTATCAAAAAACAGAGATTATTTTATGAATTAATCTAAAATTTTGTTCCATTTGTATATTGACGAGTATGTCAAAATAAACGAGTCTCTCAATATTTTTCATGCAAATCGTTCATATTGTAGTGTTAAAAACCTCTATTCAACTGTGATATGCATTAAAAACGATTAGTCTAAGAAGTAAAACATGTTTAATTAACATAAACTTTCGCTGGTAGATTGTAGAACTTCTTACTCTGCATTTTCTTGTTTGTTTTAGTTTTTACATGGAGTGAAGTTCAGAGTAACAATCATCGTAGAATTAAGATGTTCTGTGTAATAAGAATTGAAATTTATTGAGAACACTAAAATCATATTCCAACTAGTTTTCATCCATTCAAAAAGACTCAGTGTGGCGCCTCGCCATTGAGAGAGTTTAATTCTATTCGCGGATAGTCACTAAACTTCTTAATCATAACAATGAAAAGTAGATACTTGCGTTAGACTGTTAGCGATAACAGTTAGTACATAGTTATCGCTAACCTTTTCTTTTTCATGTTCTGTCATCACACGTCTCTCAGGTGGTTCAATACCACATGGAGATCCTTTTTTTTTCTTTCTTTTCGTTCTTCTCGTTTTCTATATTTCGTTCGCTATGTTCTCTATGGTTCGTGCCGCCGGTCTGACCGCTCTATGAACTTGTGTGATCAGACAGGCAGTTCTCTTTGATCCACGATAAAAGTCGGTCGTGTTTTGTTTTGTGTTTTTTCTTTCTCTCTCGTCGATTTAATAAACACCATCACGAAGATCTCATTACATCCGTTCACCTCTGTCAATAACGAAGTAGGACAACCACACACACTAACAGGAATCGATACAGATCTCAGCTCTCTGTTGTTTCCGTCCGGCCTATTAACGTCTAGTGGGCAGGAGTCTTTGGTCATTAACAGAAAAGCTAACATAGACAACCTCCAAAATTATTCACTTTAATAAAAAAAAAACGAGTCGAAGATGACAAATTGATGAATGAGAAAGTTGAATGTATATCGTCAGGCGATCCAATCGAATTCATATAGTGTAAATTGTCAAAGAAAACGATTACTTTCATAAATACATTTGTTATTCAATGGATAGGTTTGACGTTGTTATCATATTTGCCCAGCTACTTTTAGATCTGTGATTTGTGTTTTGAAATAGAGTAATTCACCTAACCGTTCAGAAATATTCTCATAGATTTGTTTTATGTCTGTATAAGTTTGAAGTTGCTTACCTGCACAGATATCCCAGAAACCATTTGAATCATATTGAGATTTTGTTTAGCAAGTAAATACTTTGTATGTAATTCGTCCGTATAGAATCCAAAACGATAGAGAAATTCAGGTCAGTTATGTACAATTACTACGAACGTATTTTCACATAGCAATAGTGTGATTAGTTAGAAAAAATGAATGAATGATATGTTTGTAATTTACGAGAGATAGCTTCGACGTCTGGAGGCGGTATTTGTTTTTTCTTCCATTCTACATTGGACATGGAGCTGCCTCGTCATGTTCAGTATGAGATGAAAAAGACAAGAAACGAATGTATCTTCGTTGCTTGAACTCTACGATAGATTGTATGTATCATAATTAATATTTCTCTCGAAATTTTCACAATCAGCATGTTTGAACATACAATTATAAGAGAGAAACAAAGACTATAGTCGCAACAAAAAACTGCGACACAAAAAGATTTACAATATTGAGATTCAATAGCGCCATTTTATTTGATTTTTAGTATCTAATTTTATTAAACAAAAATAGAGAATAAAGAACAAGAAAATCTATCTGACAATTGATCAATGAGTCTATTTTCTGACTTCGATATTTTACATTTTGTTGTAATCAGATTTCTCCTGACAACATCGTATTCAAATCTAAAAGGGAAGAAAAAAGGTTCGAATCGGAAGTGAAGATATTTTCAAAGCAACAAACCACTTTTAGCTAAAGTTTCATCTTGTTTATTCGTTTGTACTCGTTGAACAAAACGAGCAAATACATCGATGAATGGCTTCAACGCTGTTTGATTATAATCTTTTTGTTTCGAATTAGATTTCCCTCCATTTTCTAAATCTTCAGTTTGCTTTGGTATTTGTTCAACCTGTTGACACAATTCACTTAATATTGGTACAACACCTTCTTTACAAGGATCAAAATACGCTAAAGAATCCGATGAGATTGGTACTGATACACGACCCGTTTTAGGATGAATTGAAAATGGAGATTTGAGTAAATGATTCAGTCCTTTGGTCACATTCGCATCAAGACGTGGGTAACAATATTCAAACATGATTTCGTCAATTAATGTTATGTACGATGCTTTGCGATACTGAAATTTCAAGAAGAAAGAAGATGTTGAATGGTAAAAAATAAGGGAAAGAATACTTTGTTTGTTGATGTAACAGAATTGATCATTGAATCTGTATGTTGTTTAAAGGCGGCCCATCGTTCAGCTGACGTTGTCAATTGAGAAAATATGTCACGTAAGGTTTGTCGACGTAGAAAAAATGATTTGAATTAAGGAAAAGAATCTATATATAGTGCTACTAGAACAAAGATTTTCAACTATAGGAAAAAAGGATATTATCATCAGGAACGAGTCGAAGAAATCGTTCAATTCGTTGATCATCACCAAGAAAATCTTGTTCCAGACATGCATATCCATCGAATTCCGTTAAAATGATTTCACGTGCTTTTCTAAAAAGGTCTCAACTCGAAATTTTCCGCAAAAATCCTTTTCCTTTTAATTACTGAAGTGATGGATGTAACGGCGTATAAAGTGAAACACGTTTAGTCGAATCTTTTCCACCCTAAACTCACCAAAGTCCAATGAATTAATAAAAATTCGAAGAAAAGTGATCATACCACAATAACGCTAATATGTTCAACAATGGCCTGTCGAATACTTGATTGTAACTCTCGAGCCGTTTGGTCACAAACCCAACAATGCACACCACGTCGACCAGAATAGATCCATAGTCGATGTTCGAATCCAAAATCCTCTTCAAAAGAAATTCATTTTCGTGCATTTCTCGAAAGAGAAAACAAACCATATAAAACACGATCAATAATTTGCATGGCAAATCTCATTAAAGTCCAGCATTTCGAACAAATATCCGNCTAAACAACTTTAGTTTTTCATAAGAAAGATTTTTCCAGATAATAATTGTTCACCACCTTCATCATCAACCAATGTACAACTATGTTCACCATCAATTCCATTATCCTACGGACAATCATCACCAACATTTGTCAATACACTCGGTGGTTGGATTGTTAATCCAACAATGCCACAAATGTTTCATCCAATGTTCAATCCTCATCAACCATATGGTCTGATCAACAACTTCATCAGTAATCAAACGTTTATATTTGATTTCTTTCTTTTTTAGCTGTGTTACCGCTGTCGCCATTAATGTGGAATAATTTTTATCCTCAAACAGCAATGCAACCACCGTTTATTCCAGTAAGTTTGGAAATATGTTGAATTGATTACAATTGAAGAAATATTTCTTAAGGATCCGATGATTTCATCCGCAATGATGAACATTTCATAACAAAAGTCTTTTCATATTTGTGTTCTTTTCAAAAAACAAATTGTATAAAAATGATCTGTTATTTTGAACAGTTGTTCTTTCTCTTCTGTCAAATTGAATCACTTTTCTTCTTCGTTTTTCTTTTCTTACTCTTCAGAGTAAAAATGTTCTTTCTCGTTGTTTGTTTTCTCTATTTATGTAAATAACTTTCATTCATCTCTCTTCAGATATTATTCAAACGTGTGTCTGTGTTATCCTATCACTTATTACATCTATCTAGTTTCTTTGTCTCCTCTATTATTCTACTTGTGTTATCGTGTGTTCCAGTTTTTGGAAAAAGAAATAAACTGAGTATGGAAGAAGAATTACTCTCAAATACAAATCAGAGAAATTATACGTTATTTGTTGAAATGTATAAAACTAATCTTTGGATACACAATACGTCGATAGAATGGCCTAATTATCGAATAATTCGATAGATATTTAGAAACCCAATCCCAGTCGTTTATGAGAAAAACGCTAAAAGGACGAGACTGGTGGGCAGACTAAACTTTCTTATGTGATATATGAACAGCTGATGAAGAATTTGCTTGAAAAGTAAAGTTCACAGCAGATGATAACATTTTCAATATGCACCTCATTTTACGTATAAACTTGCGAAATCAATAAATCAATATTATGGGTTTGATTTATCAACAGAAATTAGTAAAATGCACGTACCTTCTAACAAGGATTGTCTCCAAGTTGAAACCTCACTCACGCTAGAGCAACGTGGTTTATGAAACAAGATTAAAAGTCAAATCCAAATTAAAGTCGTCTCAGCTATCGTTGGCATTATTGGTAAAAAATAAAGTATCGTCATCTGTTTGTAAACATATTGTTATTTTCTATGCATTGTTTCTCTTTTCAATAAGTTCAAAAGTTCACAACGGAATTGATTACTAATACCAGCATTTCATACATACGTGAGAAAAGATCTCTATTTAACCCATACGATATAGCGAACGAGCGAAAGGATAGTTCTGCTCAAGCCAGTCGATGTGTTCATAGAATATAAGACAAAGTCTACGTATAACTTCATTAATACAGATACAACTCTTAGAAAATCACTTTGTGCTCGACAATAAGAATACCGTCGAAATGAGATTGTACTGTAATATGTTGTTCAAATAAATATTCAGTTAACTAAAATCATGAAGTATATTCATGTAACGTCTATTTTTATCTATGATTATACTAATAAGTTATATTTGTCGAAGGATTCGACTATTTCGGTTATATTGCTTAAAATAGAAGAAATCGCCAAGAAAACATCAATAATGATCTGCTATTCGATATGATCTTTTCAAATAATTGTTTTGCCATATTTATGGTCGAAAGAAGTTCATTTTCTGTCATGCATACAATCAATCTAATGGGTTAAAACAATCGTCGTCTGCGACCTTCCCAATTGCGAAAGGTCATGGCGCAATTCCACACAGCTGCATCCTAATCAGTGCATTTTTCGTGATTGTTATACTCACTGATTATAAACGATAAAAAAATATGTGAAAATTTTCAATCGTGTCAGACTAATATTGATATGAAACTATTTTCACATAAATATTATGATGTCCAATCAATGAAAATAAGTCAAAGGTTTTATTTTGAGAAATCTCTTCGTGGGATTTAATTAAATTGAATTTTTTCTATCCTAAGTCGTTGTTGTGATTAAGTTAAATTAAATGATGTTCTAAGTGGAAAACTGTTCATCAGTTTCTTTCGTTTGTCATATTGTGTTTTATTTGTTCCAACGAATAGACGATATGTTATAATATTCTTTTCAAACATCTATTAGCATGAAGAAGTGTTCCGTGAAAGTATTGCTTTCTAATTCACATAAAAAAGATGAAAGAAGACCTATAAACAACGTTTTAATTTTATAGAATTGTGAGAAGTACCATTAGTACAAGTTATTTTTTAATTAAATAATATATACGTATATTTAGAAATTCAGATAAATATGTCGATAAAAACAATGGGAAGCGCGTGCACAGTAGTTAAGCACATCTTTCCTATGAGATATAGAAACAGCTGGGAAAAATTCATCATTAAATATAGTTCGCAACATATGTAAATCTTCTCAAAATCGCATTTATTTTTCAGTATATAACTGATCAAATCCATCAAAGATATTTAGGGAATACGTTGGTATTGTTGGCTCAATTTATCAAGAGAAATTTGTTAAAATGCACGTACCTCTCAGTATCGTCATTACTTTAATTGCTTTTGGTTCTGTTTACTCAACATCAGTGCCATATCCAACCGCTAATAATGATCTTCTCCAAGCTCAAATCCACTTCTTAGCCTCACTCACACCTGAGCAACGAGGTTTGTGGGGTAAAATCAAAGACAAAGTAACCAATGCTGCTATCAATGCTGGTATCAGTGCAGCTGTTGGTCTTATCGGTAAACGTGATGCTGATGATCAAGAAGTTGATTTATTTTTAGCTTCACTTACACCTGCTCAACGTGGTTTATGGGGTAAAATCAAAGATAAAGTAACAAACGCTGCTATCAATGCTGGTATCAGTGCAGCTGCTGGTCTTATTCTTGGTAAACGTGCTGTTGAAGATCAAGAAATTGATTTATTTTTAGCTTCCCTCACACCTGAGCAACGTGGTTTATGGGGTAAAATCAAAGATAAAGTAACAAATGCTGCTATCGGTGCTGGTGTCAGTGCTCTCGCTGGTCTCGTTGGTAAAAAATAATGATTCAATATCGATTTTTAAACATACGTACTTAATTCTTATATGTATAATCTAAATTTTGAATAAGGTGAAGTTTTTCTTTCACGATGGAATAAAATCGATTATGATTAGAAGTGTATCATTCGTAGAGAATAAATATATAAAATAACATGAAATGTATCTTGTAATACATAGAAATTGATCGCAGATATATTACCTTTGAGAATGATAAATCTTAGATGAACAGAAATGTCTATAGAATATGGATATGCCATACAATGAAATATATCTTCGATATCACAAAATCTGCCATCTTGTAATTAAAAATGACTGTGAATATTTATTCTCAGTCTAATCTTATTGTTTTCCTTATGAAGAAGCATCTTGTAAACATAGATTATCTGTTTGTTTGGCAGTTTATTCGCATGTCATGGATTTTGTCAAAAGATAAAAATGGTCAAGAAAAGATAATCGTGAGGGCGATTTCGAATCTACGACTAGTTTTGTAGAATTTGGCGATAATTTCTGAATTTAATTTCAACAAGAAAGATTTGAACGAGTTCTTCTGCAAACGTTACTTGTTTTGTAAAGTTCTCACAAAAGAAAAACAAGTGACATAATTTATCGAAAGACACGATGTCTTCTGTATTGGTAATCAATTTTTTTCCGTCACTTTAATACATCTTAAGATGGAAACTTCTTCATCTCGAAGCAGAAATTTGACCGAAATTAAATTTTCTAAAACTTGAAAATGCAATCTTTGTGTAGTTGAATTTTCGAGATGAATATAATCAGCTGGAACGATATTTCTTGAATTTAACCTAAGTGTTTAACATGTGAAATAATTGAGATTGAATTTGTCAACAATTCGTCTTTGGATAATCATGAAATTAAAGTATTTATCGAAGGAATGAGATCTTTTCAATGTTGTTTTGATATATAAAGATATTGAAAATATCAAAGTTGACACACAATATCATGGATAATTACGAGATTATTGTGCTAAACTAAAAGACTTCTAACAAAAGAATTGTGTTCTATTGTTTCGAAAACATCGTGTTAGTTGATCATCACATTATACAATACTGTGAAATCATTTTCGTACTAAATCTCAATGAAAATACTTTCAAGAAATAATTATGAACTAAAACATCACTAATAAAGAGATAAATTAATATAACACTAAATCTATTTGATAATCATTTCTATTGAAATTTGATAAAATAATAATCAAGATCATCTTCAGCTTCACTCATTGATCACATATTAATAAAGAACTGATCTGACAAATCTTGAGAATGAGACAAATGTTTGTTTTAAGAACGAATAGATGTTGATGTCTATGAGTACCACTTATTGACAATCTGAATAGAAAGAGAACTGTTCACCAATATGAGGCATTTCAAGTTTACAAAGGAAATGATGATTTTTCTTCGATACAACTGTAATACATTTTAATCGATCAAAGTCAAATTGAATTTCTGATAATTAAACGTGAAGTGAATTCAATATAATATTAAACAAATTTCGAGAAGAGAAAAATCTGGATTGGAATTCAGCGTATTACTTTTCAACTTCTTGTCAACATGTCAATCGAATACAGAAATAACAAACGAAATAAGATAGAAAATGAGGTGTTATTCTATATGAAGAACACAAAATCTTTGTTTTGATGTTTCTTTTCCTTTAAGAGAGAATTGCATCAAAGATGAATTCGTAATTGTTGATGAAAAGATATGAAATGAATAAAATTTGAAAGGAAATTTTATTTTCATATAGATAACAATATGAGATCCGAAAAAAACCTTGTTCAACTTGAATCTGTGTGTTACTTGGAATTTTTTTATTTTTTGTTGAAGAAAAAAAAGACAAACGTTGTTCGAATTGAATTGAAAATTAGTTATTATAAAGTTTTCCATGGAAAAAATTCTCCACGTGGATCTCGATGTTGAATTCGATCTCGTGCATCTTTACAAAGAACATCTCCTGAATCTGCATCAAGTAAAATTAACGTTGGAATACCAGTGATTTGAAATTTCTTTCCTAATTCTTCTTTCTTTTTTCGTTCACTGTACAGTAATTTTAACCACGGCATATCTTTACAATATTCGTTAAATGCTCGTTCATCGCGATCAGAACTAATAAATATAATCTCAAAGTTTTTCTCTTTTGCATGTGTTTTATAGAATTCAGTTAACGTTGGTGTAAATCCACGACACGGTGGACACCTAATCAAAGAAAAGAAATGAGTAGAAAAGTGAATCAATTTGTTTCTCAACATACCAATGTGCACTGAAATAAAGAGCGATGACTTTGCCTTGATATTTTGCATCATTAAGATCGACTTCTTCATTTGAACTATTCAGAATATGTCCATCGAATAATTTGGCGACACCGGCCATGTTTGCTTTCTTAACGTGTTATTTTATACAGCTGGCTAATAGAAGAAAGACAAAGCAATGGCAATTGTAGTGTCTGCAATGACTTGCAGTTTTTTTTTCTTGTTATTCGTAATACAACGGTAGAGTTTGGCGTTCTTTTTATTCTCAGCTGCTGCTGCGTGTATATCAAAGAAAGATCGATAAGAACAAAAACGAAAAAAGTCAAAGAACGAGACAATATTTTGTGTGCATATATTCTCCACGAATATATTTCAAAAGAACTATAACTCATCGGTTTTGTTTTCTTTTTTTATTAATAAAAATTTGACTTTCAATATGATTGACATTGACGATCATCTTCATGTCAAAGAAAGTAAACGAAACTAAACAAAGACAAATATTTTCTTCCGAGTCTTCATATATCTTAAATAATCAATGTTCGTATGATTCAGAAGAGTCGAATGTATGTGAATCAAATGGTTGACGCAACATAAAATCTGTATATCATTTTTCTTGTTAGAATAATATTATTTACATTTGTAGTTCGAATTACAAATTTGATTTAAGAAGAAATGTTTTTTATCAGTTGGATTGAGTAATTCGATATGTGTTCGTTATTGAGAAAAATGTTATGATGTAATATTGTCGATGACTGACATCTTTTGGAAAGATCGAATCAGACTTTGAAGTACTGACTGGTTGGATTTGACAACCTACGAAAGACTTGTCATTGCACATTGTGATAGAAATATCAAGAATAAAAAGCAGAACATGTTCAGTTGATTTTTTGTTTTTCATAAGATATTTTCGAACCGCGATGGCAACAAAACGTAAAGTTCCTGACAATCCAAACTCTGAGTTAATCGATTTTCTCAATGGTAAAATGACAAATTTCTTTCACTTTTCATTTTATTTATATAATTTTGATAACTAGAATTAGGCGAATACGAGAAAAATGTTTCTCGTGCAATTCATAAATACAATGCTTATCGAAAAGCAGCAAGTTCAATTGCTAAAGTTGGTCATAGAATCGAAACGATCAAAGATATCAAAGGATTAGTAAGTTGTTCATCTACTTATCACGTTTCGTTTTCACATTGATTTCATTAATAGGAAGGGATTGGAAAGAAAATTGAAGCAAAAATTGAACAATATTTATCAACTGGAAAAATCAAAAAGTTAGAAGCGAATCGAGGGGATGAAACAGGTGCGGCTATAACACAAATGACACGTATTATGGGTGTTGGGTATGAAGATTGTTTATTTGGTTTAGTTTCAAAGAAAATGTTTGATATTTTTTCATGATTTAGACCTGCTCATGCGAATAAACTTGTTCAACAGGAAAAAATCAAATCAATTGATGAGTTACGAGCACATCCAAAACGCAATACATTGTTAAATAAAACTCAACAACTTGGTTTAAAATATCTCGAAGAATTTGAACAAAAAATACCTCGAGATGAAATGAAAGAAATGGAAGTATGTGTGATTTATAGATTATTATAAGAAGATATAAATGAGTGTTGTTTTAGACAATTATTCTATGTGAAATTACTGCAATTGATGATGAATTGAAAGCAGAAATTGTCGGTAGTTATCGAAGAGGTAAAGTATTTATCTTTTGAACGAAATGAATGATTATTGGCGATGTAAAAAGGTGCAAAAGCAAGTTCAGACATTGATGTTTTGGTAACACATCCAACAGCCACTAAATTATCTTCATTTCTACACAAAATAGTCGATCTTCTAACAGAAAAAGTTGCTTTTATCACCGATACAATTTCGATTGGAGACTCGAAATTTATGGTAAAATCGAAAACATCTTTTCTTTCGAATCGTTTATTTCAATATTTCCTTTAACAGGGTGTTTGTCAATTAGAAAATACGAAGTTACATCGTCGTATTGACATAAGGTAAATATATATTAAAATATGAAAATAATCGAATAAGAAATGTTTGATAGAGTATTTCCGAGCGAACAGTATCATTGTGCATTGCTTTATTTCACTGGAAATGATCAATTGAATCGTCAAATGCGTATTGTGGCACAAGAGAAAGGTTATAAATTAAATGAATATTCAATTCAAAAAGTTGGATCAACCGGTGTTTTGAGTAAACCATTACCAGTGTCATCGGAAAGAGATATATTTGATTATCTTCAAATGGATTATAAAGAACCAAATGAACGAAATGTATAAACGAACAGTTTTTCCTTTTCTTTCTTTATTGTACATAGAAAATGAAACATTTTTCAACTTGAATTTCACTCATCTCAGTTTTATCTATTTTCGTTTTAATATAACGAATGTCTCATAAATGTGTTAATTAGTCCGACTCATTGAACTTTTTGCCATCAGAATCTCAAATGTCAAATTTGTATATCGATTGCTCTTCGATCAAATCGATGTTTCACCTTGAATCGCTCTGAAGAATAAGACAAATGTACAATTTAAGTCTAAAACAGAACCATCATTATTTAAGAATATATTTTTATTTTGAAGTGCAATGAAATATGATGTAACTTTAGCACATTTAAACATAAGAGAAATAGTATCACAAATATCACTTTTTACTGCTGACATCTGTGCTGTTCTCCTTGTTCTGTTGATACCGATGTCCTCTGTCAAAATTATTTCTAATTCGTTGAATATAATATGCCATTCAAAGACCGCCATCAGTTCACTTATAAAAGTTATAAAGCTTCGTTTTAAAACACGGATTTTTTTGTTTCTCGCCATCTCATAATTTCAAGAAAAACATGTCTAAACATCTAATTATTGTTGCATTATTATTGATGATCATTGTCAATACATTGGCCGAAGATAAATTACAAATTGGTATCAAGAAGAAAGTGGAAAACTGTGAACAAAAATCCAGAAAAGGTGATCGTCTTCATATGCATTACACGGTAATTCGTACATATGTTCCAAGTTATCAACAAAGCAATGTTCGTTTAGGGTACTTTGAAATCAAATGGAAAAAAATTTGACTCGAGTCGTGATCGCGGTGAACCATTTGTTTTTACTATTGGCACTGGTCAAGTTATCAAAGGAGTAAGTGAAATTTTCATCATTTAACTCTTAAAAATCTAATCGAATGAATATTTCTTTTTTCAGTGGGATCAAGGATTACTCAAGTAAGACAAATAATTTTGTCGATCCCTATCTATTTGAATTTTAAACATTTCAGTATGTGTGAAGGTGAACAACGTAAATTAGTAATTCCTCCATCTCTTGGTTATGGTGATCGTGGTGCTGGCAATGATATCCCGGGCGGTGCTACCCTTGTTTTTGATGTTGAACTCGTTAAAATCGAACGAGGAAATAACGACCTATAATTAAAAACGTTGTTTTAACATTTTCATTTTCCAAAGAAAAAGACATTCGTTGATTTTTCATTCTTTATATTATCGTAGTATAAACATTGTTTAAAATAAGATAACTCTCTTTCTATTCATACAGAAAAAAAACAGTACGTGAGACAAAGCAAAGCTTTTGTCGATAGATCAAAATAACGAGACATAAGGAAAAAAGTCAACTTCCTTTTCATGTAATTCACAGAAACCTTTCACTCCAAAATCAGGAAATGAAAGAATGAAGGAGACAATAGTTCGTTTGTCTTCTGTATGATTACGCTACTGCGATTAATATTCGGCTTTTTCTAAATTAATTTTTTTGAGAAAGTAAACTCACAACGAAATTACAACTACTGAATTATAGTCATCGGAGATATTATCCGTCTAGTTCTCTTCCAGAATAATATTACTCGTAATTTCTGTTTTAATCGAGGTAATGATAACAGAATCGCATAGGGTACAATGATTGCTGGTACGTATACCATATGTGAAATATATGGTGAAAGAATTTTACGACCAAATTCTGGATAACCGGATGATTGAACAATAACGATAATTATATAGGGTAAATCAAAAACAATGTAGGATATTGAAACAAGTCCCAATTGAATAATCATTTTTCGACATTGACGCCATTTAGTTGCTCGTTTCAAACGTGATCTTTGCTTGAGAAACCGTAGGATAAGAATGGCACTGAAAACAGCCACTAGTAATACTGGAATAACATAATGAGTAAGGATATCATAATAGAAAAACCAAGCTGGAGCTGTATTCAAATAGCAAAGACTACCACAACGAATTGTTTTATCATCATAAGTCATATGACATGGATAAATAAAAATTAAATAAAAATATAATATTGGAGTGTAAAAAGAAAAGAATATCAATGGTATATAATGAAAAAGAAGACGACGTTGACTTGTACGAACGAGATTGACATGAAACACAAGGATATGTCTTTCTATTGATGCCCAAAGCATCAGAGATATCGATCCGTACCAAATGCCATAGTCGACAAATTGCCAAGTAAGACAAAGGATAGGCGAAAAGAGTGGCACTGATTTCGATAATGAATAGCTCATTGTTAATGATAAATCAATTATTAAATCAAGAAAACAATAAAATAATATCATAATAATTACATGATTGTGTAAAGCTCGTCGAGCAGTTCGATGTGCCAAAATATGGTACATAACGAATAAATAACATGGAATAGCAAAGATTTGTCCCATAAGAAATAAGAAAAATTCTGTTTGAATCCATATGTCACTTACATTTTTGTTAATTTCATCATTAATTTCAAGAGATGAAAAGTTACGAGGCATTGTATTCATACTCGAAAAAAAGTAAAAATGAAAACTAAGGCGTCATCTGGTTGATTGTGCTCAAAGGATGATTTGTTGATGAACCTTATATAGCATTAGCAGAAAACTTGTCTTACATAATTTATTAGATATTCATATTTGTCTATCGTGTGATTTTGTAATTGAACACACTATAATTCAATTTGTAATTATATTCAGTTCATGTTACAAATCATGCATCGTTCACGCATTAGTCTTGTGTTGTTCCACAACTTAGACTTTGGACTTCAAGGAACTTCACAGTATTTGATAAATGAATCATATCTGCATGATCTTTGTGTATATTTTGTATATAATTTCCTCTTTTAAACAACGAAGAACTGCTGTTTGAACTGAAAAGTGAGTTAATTCTTTTAAAAATTGCTTTCAAGTAAATCGTATTCGTTTACAAATGTGTCCCATTTGTTTTTAGTCTGATGAATGATTTCAATGAGAAAAAATGACAATATCCCATATGCTATGCACCTAATGGAAATTGTTCGCGTTCGAAAATTTCTCGTAAAATAGGGTGTAATTTATAGAGTATTGTGAAAAATGATGGTATTATAAGATAGTACGCAAACTAAAGGTAGATTCAGAGCATGCCGAACCCATAATTATCAGATGTTTATTATGCACGATAAGCGATATGTGGCAAACACGTACGAATAAAAACGTTTCTTCGGACACATTTCTCTCTGAGTCATCTATCACTTTCAAATATGTAAAGTCGTTCGTGAATATCTTTTGTAAGCATAATCGGAAACTCATTCTGACAATATGGAATATCACACTATACTTTCACTTTTAGTTGCCTATCATTTAAACAAACACAATAACTCTTCGATTAGCACGAATTGTTTCTACATTCTTATTCTTTTGATATAATGCAACGATATGCCAAAAGAAAGCTTATTTATTAGAAAATATTTTCCGGGAGATCATGTCCGTTCACAAATGTGTCCCATTTGTTTTTTGGGATATGTTGAAACACATGTTCTAATCGATCTACGACTCGTTTCTTTGGTACACGTATGAAGATTTTCAAAATTCGATCCGAATATTTTTCGTAGATATTTGCATAAATTTCCGGATCTTTTTGAAAAATATCACCAAGTAAAATAAATTGTCTCGAGCGTGTTTGCTGGAAAAACATGTGTAAAATATTTGTCTTCTGTCTGATGAATGATTTTGACGAGAAAAAGTGAAAGAAATTCGAGTCCAACCAGGTAAAATGTCTCATGTGGTATGAACCTAATGGAAATTGCTCACGTTCAAAAAATTCTCGTAAAAATGGATATAATTGATCCGGTGAAGCAGTTAAATAATGAAATGTGGCATTGTAAGTCGATTCATAATGACGATAACGTTCAGCCATACCAGGCACAGCTTTATATTGACCAGAAAATGTATTCCGAAGAACAGCACGTGCACTGGTTACACCAGTTATTTTGATTGTATCATCCTATTGAATAACATTCTTTGAAATTTTGTTTGCTAATTCTATTTTACTTACAATATCACTAATAACTGATATTCCATTATCATCACATAAGAAGATTTCACCTTTTTTCTGAATATTTTTATCTACTGTTGAAACGGAATATTCAACTTTTCCACCAGTTCCACCCGAAACACGAAAAAGTTGAATATCATCATTTGATAATTTAAACTGTTTTTGAATTAAGCCATGTGAATCTGTGTATGTACACATTTCATTCTTTAGACCATCAATACATAATGCTCGATGTTCTTTTCCACTTCCAGTAAAATAAGCGATGCGATCTTGATCAACATCACCGACAGTTGTCAAGAGGATAGTTGTGGCAAGACGAGCACGAATAGGATTTACTTCAAGAAACCAACCTTGAGCATAAAGAATCCAATCATCCGTTGGATGAGCCAGTGCAGTTAATTCCATTGATTCAGAATGATGACGAAATGCAACTGATGGAACGAGCATTAATTCCTGACGATTTGATTGCACCAATTGAGATGTTAAAAGACATTTTTCGACAAGGATAAAAAGATAAATCCATATATGAAACGACTTCCACATGATCATTTCTATAAAAATACACAATGACTGACACTTACACTCAATGTATGAAGGATCAAAGATGAGAACGGATTAATATATAGCTTCGATCCTATTACATACAGATTTTATCTTTTCATTTATGCATTCATTTTCAATTGCTACTATCGAATGTATGTACATACATCAATAAATATACTCATTTTCTTTCGTTCTCCGTTTTTACTTATCGATGTTATTGCATTTTTTTTCTTTCGTTCTCGTTCTATGTCGATTAAACAATATAACATAGAAATTCCATCTGTGGCCGATGAATAATACAAAAGCAAATAAAAGAAAACGTTTTATGTTAATATCTTTCTACTTGACGAACTTTTTCTTGCGAGATGACAATTTGATGATATTCATTCCTCCAATCGAAAATAGAGAGTATTCAAAGATAATTGAGTTTCATTTTCTACTTCATTCAAACAATCGCAGACAAGGAATCAGCTGATACATAAATGCACATTCTTTATTCGCAGGGTTAATAGTTCGAATTATATTTTATTTCAGAGATACAACGAAGTTGAACAATGGAGAAAGATCAAATTTATATTGACAAATTTGTCATTCGTAAAAGTGAAGCAATTTTTAACGCGATACAAGAAATAAAACTAATTGTATGTCAAATATATTTATGTTTTGTTTATCCACGAGCAAAAACTTGAATTTCAGTGACTTCAATACAAGTTTCATTGCCTCTTACTAATGGAAAAAGAAAACGATAACTTTTGAATGATAAAGTATTATTTACGAGAATTTGTGTTTGACCGAAAGTGGATCTCCCAGGATTGGATAATAAACCTGTTGTACCGTTATAGAGTAATGTCCAACTCGATCCAAGAGTAAGAGAATAATCTGTATAATTACTACCTTCAATAGTAATGATCATCGGATCACGTAGAGAACCAAAGCTTCCTGTAGCAACACGAAACGAATCGAGTATAAACGAGCCGCGGTTAGAAACGACATATGCGCCAGTGTTTTCACCACAGTTTGCACCGAACATCCGTGCACCACAAACACCGTATAAAGCTACACTCGTTGTCAAGTCATTGTCTAACATATTCTTTGGTGGAAAAAATGCATAGTAATTGCCAACATAATAACCAGCTGTTGACGGCGTACTATCTTGGCCAGCAGTTGTGTTCCACAATAAGTACACGAGTTCACCAGTTCCAGTAAGTAATGCTAAAACAGATAACCATGAAATGACTCTTCGCAATAATAAAAGAAAATGTCACGGACCTCGTCAGACAAATGTTGTTATGTTTCGTAGATATACACAAAATAAATTTATACATTTTGGGAGAAAAGTATTTCTATTCTTAGCAGATTCTCTATTCTTCCCAAAACTATTCTGAACAGAGAAAACTATTGAAAAGTGTGAATATAATCCTTAAGTCTGGTTTACAGATACGCTTAATAAATAAGAGCATGAAGAATCGATCATTCTATTGAGTAATATCGACATAAAAGACTAGTTAATATGTTCTTACGTATAGATTTTGGAATGATTATTGTAGCCATTTCACTTGATGACGCAGATATAATTTGTCCACCATCGTAGAATGTTTCTTTGAATAATGAACAAATGTACATTTGATTATCGAACACAGCTATTGTACATTGTGATGAATGTAAACATACGAGAGCACAATCAACAATAGAAGGTATTGATGAGAGAAATTGTCGACGAATTTCAATCAATGATGTGCTCATATTTGGTGAAAACGTTTTCCCCCAATAGATTATCGGATTCGCCATTTGAACATTTCCATCTGCTAGGGAAACTTTCACATAAGTCATACAGATAATTGTAAAAATGTAGATCAACATTCGATGAGACGATCTTATTTCCAGAATAAAGCATAAAATGGTTTTTTTTTCTCTAACATCTATTTATATGAAGGATTCTAGCAAACATTTTTAATTTCATTTATCGTCCCATCTCAATATTTCTGTAATCAAAAATAACATACTATGTCTAGATGAGTTCTATCATTCAGGTGTTCCAAGAGAAAACTGCCTCATATTTGATAATGAAAAGTGCAATATAATCATTGTTTTTTTTTGCCTACTTCAGAAAATTAAGAGTAAAGATTCATGTATAGAATGCCTTCGCATATAAAAAACACAGAAAAAGATTTTGACTGGCGCTTGTTATTATACTGAAAATATCGATTTGTTTGAGATTGGTCTTGAAAATTGACAAAGATCTGGTGATTCACCTCATCATCTTCCAATCGATCGGCTGAATTTTAAGAGATATCCTAATCATCCTATTACACCTTATTTTATTACAAAACTCTAATAAATATATGATCTCACACAATCACAAGCTGAAAAAGTCTATAAATAATGCAAAACTCTGAAAACTTTTCAAAACTAGACAAAGTACAAAAAAAGCCATGTGGAAAGATCAACAAACCCCAACAACTTTAGTAAGTCATTGTTTTTTACCGTCACTAGGTTAAACATCTAACACGTGAGATTTCAAAGGTCAAAACCGAATGGGAATTTTTAAAAGATGAATAGTTGTATCGATGCAACGGTAGAGAAAATATAAAAACTTTAAAGTAACGCAAATCAATAATGATTTTAACACAGGAATAGACATTGAATTTCAATCGTAGAAAATTTTGTTAATACTGATCGTACGTTCGAATTTTTCACCCTCGATTACTCTTTCCGTCGAGTTTCCTATAAAAATTTACTTTTATTTTCAACTTGTTTTTATTAAATATTAAACAGCAAAGCGTATACATAAAAAGAAGCAAACGACCACTCTACCAAATATACATTAAACTCGCTGGCAGCGGACAACAGCCATAAGATTATTAGATAGACGTTGTTTAATAAAGGTATGTAGCGCTGTATTATACAATGTCGAGGGTAAGACAAAAACAAAAAGATTAGCAATTGACGGTAAGAAGCCAAGAAGATATACAAAGAAATTGAGAAATGGACGTCGATTGAGTTTAGTACAAACAAAGATAAAAGTGAATACAAGACGAGGAATGGCAAGGAGACCGAGAACTAATGGTCCTATTATAATATGTTTGTGTTTTGAAATCTCTTTTTTCACAATTAATTGCAAGTGTGTGTCCTTTTCTTTCTTTGTTCGTTGCTTTGATTGTACAGTACCTCGTATAATCATAGCTGCGCTCGACAAATTAATAATCAATGGTAAAACAATCAGAAGAATATTGTAGGCTGCATACAAAATATGCATGAGAGCATGTTGATCTCGATCAAGTGTCAAAACACACCATACACGACCGTCTTGTTGGTCAAGCAATGCGCGACGGAAAACAAGTTCGACTGATGATAAACATCCAAGTAGAATGAGTACAGCAATGACAATCCATTTAGCAATTCGTTTACTTCGAGTTGCATTGAATGCTGCGCCTTTTAAAATTGTAAGTGCACGTTCGACAGCCACACACACGTCGAGCCATTCATTAGCTGCTAAGAACCATTTAAGAAAGAACTCGATCAAAGCACAGCTAACATTCGTATGCATTCGACGAACTGAAGTACTAAGCAGTAGAGATACTTTTGCACCGAGTATCAGCAGAGTGAACAGACCGATGAACGACGAAATTAGTAGATAAAATCCGCTCGCGGTATTTCGTATTGTATTTTGAGAAAACACGCCGATAGCAAGAAAGTTAAGAAGAGATCCAACAGTAATCAATGCAATCAATACTATAATACTTGTACGGATAACGGTTGACTGATGGTAATTTGATCCAATGATAGCATCGAGTGAGATAGAATAACCGCGAGTATTAAATTCACAATCAGGACCATCCGCACACGGATCACAGATACATACTGAGTGCGTAGGACAATCAATCTGATCTTGAACACAAATTCCACGATTGTTACACGTTCGTTCGGTACATCGATGCGATGACCAACTTGTTTCAAAATTGAAACAAATAGCATTATGATTATTTCCACATCGACATATCAATTGACTGTCATAGAAACACCCGAGAGTGCCTTGCCGTTCTTTGCACAATTGATGAAAGTATTTAGCACGTTTCAAGGGTGGTGCATTAGATATCGATTTTTTCAATAAGTCACGAATTGGCAAACATCGACTGGATTCGTTGATCTATAAAGAAACGAACTGTATTAGTTTGTTTTTGTGAAGATAAAAATCCAAAGTTTACATGAAATTCCAGTCCTGCTATTATTGGTGTATGTTTATCTGGTTGGGATGAATAGTAAAGTGCAAATAAATCTCGATGTTCGTAAAGTCGAATGTAAATTGTATTACTGAATATAATATCTGCCGAGAAATTAAATACTAAATTACTAATAGATCCTTTCTTATTTTGTGAAAGTTCTCGCAGAAATGTATATGATTGTGGTTCGTACATTCCATGAGCATATAGCACATGAATAAAAATAGTTGACAATGATGGCATAGGTATTCGATGATCGAATGTTATATTCATTTGATTAGACGATGTTTGACAACCATCACCTTTCCAACCAATATTGCATACACAAACCGAATCTCCCCACGCAAATCTTTCATCATACAAAAGGCATTGACCATTACCCTGGCATTCGTTTACAGTACCATCATCTGACACACACGGATTATGTGAGATTGCACATCGACGACCAACGTAACCAAGTGAACATACGCACACATGATTACCATCGTTACCCATAATACAGATAGATTTGTTTGAACATGTGCAATTGTTCGCGTTAGATAAAAATGGAATCGAATGATGTAGATCGAGAGGTGTGCGATTGATTTTTAATCGCGTCACAATACGATTTACAGGGAGAAAAGCAAATGGAACATAATCCAATTTCCAATACCCATGTAATGCTAATCCTTCCGATTGAAATGTATAAATATGTACAGAATGATTTAAATGGTCATTATTATTCTTTTTAGTAATTGGATATCGAAAAATAATGTCATATCTGGGCAAACAATAGTGACCAACCAAGTAATTTATGCGATTATGATCGATGATTGTTCCATGTTTATTGTCGACAAATAAAACAATGATTGTAAACATTAACGAAGAGCGTTGAAACGAAAGATTACTATCAACGAGTATGCTGGTTGTTACTGGTTGAATAATTAATGAAAGTCGTTTACGTTGAAATTGACATCGGTCACCATAATAATTTGGTGGACAAAAACAATAATTTGATTGACCATACGGTAATACATCTGAAGAACGCGCATAAACACCTCGATTACAATACCACGCAATCGTATCACTGTTATTTCTTCTAGGTTTTGGGTAAACTATTGCCACTGACCGAGAATTTTTGCCTTCATCTTGGTTTGAAGAATATTCTATCGAAAACTTGTCAATGAGATCACAAAAAAGTTCGTCCTCACCACTGACACAACTGAAACGACCGTTGCATCGACTGTACGCTTCTTCATAAATCCTTCCATCACGACAGCGAAACAATTTCGGGTTACAGATCGGTTTTTGTTCATTATAAAGCCAATCACAGGCTAATGTTTCGTCATCATTCCATTCACAATCTTGTTTACAATCACAAAGTTGATACGGTGAAATACAAACACTGCTATTCATACATCGATATCGATGGACTCGACTATGGGAATAAGTTCGACGACAAAAATCTCGTTCATCACTCGAACCCAAACAATCGATATGTCCATCACCGGCACGTGTTACCGGCAGACACATAGGATTACCATCTGTGATATTCAAACAGAAATGTTGTTCGTTTGAACAATAACGAGATGTTAATACTGCGAAACTTGATGTCTCAGTTAATTCGTCACGTCCGTCAGGACAATTCCAAACACCATCACCAATCGTTAACGACCTTTGACATGGCCAATCATCCAATGAACAATCTGTTTCATCTGTGTTCGAACCATCCGTACGCTCAATGATACCATTACATAATTCTTGAAAAACAACATTATATCGAGGTTTGAACTGACGAAATATACGATTTCGTTCCAAATGTGCATATCTAAATATCGACTTTGGTATAATTTCATCACTTCCATCGGCACAATCTCTCTTAAAAGTAAAAAATCGAGTCAGATAAAAAAATGCGACATAATAAATTGTCACCTACATAACGATCAATGAGAAGATATTGTGAAATACATCGTCGATCATTATCACATGGAAATCGATAAGACATTTGCAAAGAACAGACATCCATTGATTCTTCATCTTCACCATTTGTACAATCACTTCGACCATCCTGAAGACGATGCATTGATATACATCGACCATCACGACATTGATACATTTTGTTTGTTAAATTACATTCGATTGATAATGGTAAGAATGTTACTGAACAAGAATGTCTTATACGATGATAAATATCAATCAACATTTCATCAGAAATACTATACATGAATTTGGTCGTTAAATTAGTCAATGTAACGCATGTTCTCGATGATTTACCATTCGGATTCATAGTTATTAGATTTGGGCAGAGTGTAATATTGTAACATAAATATATGATTGAATTGTTATTTCCTTGTTCTAATGTAACATGTCCAAAAAAGATTGAATGATTCATAGTTAATTTTGATTTAAGTTGAGATAAATAGAGTAAATCTCGTTGAGAACGGCATACTTCATTTTCATCATTATTAAGATCAAGACATTGACCATCACCACATGAGAATTGCATTTTTGCACACTGAAAATCGTCACATTCTCTATTTCTTGCTTCACGAAAACAGTTAATATGTGTTAATTTATTAATAATTTCATCTGATTCGTCCATACAATCAGGTGTTTCATCTAAATACATTCCTTTTGGAATACAAAGTCCATTTGAACAACGATATTCACTCGAATTATCACATTGATTCATTTCCAGTAAATAACAATCATGTTCATCAACGCCATTTGTACAATCCCACTTACCATCACATATTTCTCTCCAATCAAGACATATTGTCGATTGACATTCATCGAGAATATAACAAGAACCATTTGTAATTGCTAATACATCTTCTGTACGTGATTTCAATCGGAGATGGTCTTCAAGTACACGATAAAATGCTCCATCAAAATCAACATCGAGTGTATACTGACACCGAGGGCCAAACCATGAACCAGAACAATTCATGAACCAACCTTCAACTTGACCTAAAGCGTAATCTTCTATGGTGTCCATAGGTGCGCGCCATTTCATCAATTGATCAGTGTTGATAAGTAAATCACGAAGCTCTTGAAAAGAGATAATTCGATGACCTTTCAGTTGTATATCTGTTCTATTGAATGGTTCTTGAACGTAATTGTTGTTGGGTACTGATAGACGACGACAATAGTGATAAGACGCTACATCTACATTGAGATCAGGCTTAGCACTCTTATATCGTCGCAATTCAAGTTCTTCAAAACAATCGAATGTATCAGTGCGTTGAAATACTTCAGCAGTATTGTACAATCGATGAGACAAACCATTTGAAAGTATAAAAATCATAAAACACCAATATGTTAACAATAATAATATTGTCATAGTTTGAGATTTCTTTTGAACTCACTTCTCCATGTGATTTTACTGGTTTTAATGTAGATCGAAATTTGTCGACAGCTGCTTTTGTCATCATTCATTACTAAAATGAATTAACTCATGATTTCCATCTGATCATATAATTAACGTCAGTCATGATATAGCTACGCTTTAAAATTGAGTAAATACCTGATTTTCAGTTTTCTACCTTTAACGTAGACGGATATTTAAACTCTCTAAAACTGGTTTTTCTTCTCGTTGTATGAACCTTCAAAAGGAATAACTATTTTAAAATAAGAATCGAGTAGGATATGAGAGTAGAAACACATATTTAACATTGTTATCTCCACTCAAAAATCTTATTCAGATGTTGCATTAGTAATATATTATGTTTTTATTCTGATAAACAAATAAATGAACTGGGAAGAAAGACAATATGTATATCGGGTGAGATTTGTTTTGGTAAATAAATAAAAATAAACGGAAGAGAATGTTGACAAATAATGTCAATNAAAATAAGAATCGAGTAGGATATGAGAGTAGAAACACATATTTAACATTGTTATCTCCACTCAAAAATCTTATTCAGATGTTGCATTAGTAATATATTATGTTTTTATTCTGATAAACAAATAAATGAACTGGGAAGAAAGACAATATGTATATCGGGTGAGATTTGTTTTGGTAAATAAATAAAAATAAACGGAAGAGAATGTTGACAAATAATGTCAATGAGATAAATATGAATGAGAAGACAAAATAACAACGATTTGGGTTGTTTTTAATGAACGACTGATGTATTCGTTTTGTTATCAGTATTCAAATGTGTTGTTGCATTGATTTTTCGTTCAATATCCGCACAATATTTTTCCGGAACACCCGCACGGCTAAAAATGAAAATAAATTTCTTGATTTCAAGTTTCTCAAATTTATTTACCGTAAATCATTCAGTTTTTGTGTTTTAATTTCATCGAGACGAATTCTTCTTGCACGTGCTTGTTCATCAAGTCGAGCACCTTCTTCGAAAAATGCAGTTCGTTCGGCTACTTTTTGCTTTTCATGTCGAATGATCTGTTCCCGTAATTCATTGGCAAATTTATCACGTTTGACCGTACGTTCGACTTGTTCTTGTCGATCTTTTTCTGCTTGAGATAATTGAGCTCTGAAAGGAAGATTTTCTCAATACAAAATCGTCTCTTTAAATGAAATTTACTTGAGAACTCGTTCGAATTCTGCTCGTTCTCTCGCAGCTTCAATAGCTAAATGTTGTTCTTTGTTTTTAATTTGCCAATCTCTTGCTAAACGCATATCTTCTTCCATGTCTTTCTTTTTCACAGCTAGAATTCGCTCCTTTTCTCTCCATTCCCGTTCTTTCCGTTCCTGTTCTCGTCGTGCTCTTAAAGCATCTTTATCCGCTTGTAAATCTCTTGCCCGTTCTTGTTGCGCACGCAATCGTGCAACTTCTTTTTCCTTCTCTGATCGTTTTCTTTCAATTTCAGCTTCATGTGCTGCCTCCTGTGCTGCTTTTGCTTTTTGAAATTCCAAAATGGCTAAATCAGATAATCGATCATGTTGCTTTCGAAATGCTCGTTGTTCTTCAATATCATGATTGGCTTTTAAAAGTTCATTCTAGAAATCAACAAAATAAAGTCGAAATAAACTTGAAAAGAAGTTCTTTTACCGCTAATTTCCGTTGAGATTCTTTTCGTTTGGCAAATTCTTCAAAATCTTTCTCTTGTAATTTTTGTATGTATTCAAACATTGCTGCATTTTCTTGCTCACGAGTTTCTTCTTTCAAGAGTNAAATGCTCGTTGTTCTTCAATATCATGATTGGCTTTTAAAAGTTCATTCTAGAAATCAACAAAATAAAGTCGAAATAAACTTGAAAAGAAGTTCTTTTACCGCTAATTTCCGTTGAGATTCTTTTCGTTTGGCAAATTCTTCAAAATCTTTCTCTTGTAATTTTTGTATGTATTCAAACATTGCTGCATTTTCTTGCTCACGAGTTTCTTCTTTCAAGAGTTTTTCTCTTTCAAGTTCTTCGATTTGTTTCAAGACCAAACTTGCCCCTCTGGACAAAAAGAAAGAAAAACATCCATTAAGCACATTATTTGACTTATCTTACAATTTGTTTTGTAAATGTCGTCGTTTTTCGATTTCTTCTTGAATTTTCAAAGCATTGAGACGATCGATCTCCATCATCATGTCTAAACGTTTATCTTCTTCGATGATTTCTTTTTTTATTTGTCGTTTCTCTAAAACTTGTGCATCACGTATCGCGTGACATTTCGCATTGAGAATTAACTAAAAGAAGAATTTGTTTTCTCGAATGAAACTTTGAGATTTGTTTGAAAACGAACTTCATTGAGATGTTTAACTTCATCTTCTTGTTCTTGTCGAAGGTCATTGGCTCGTTTTAACATGTATTCAGCTTCATCTTTGGCTTCTTGTTCAATTTCATCTAAAGGAGCATTTTTTCTTCGTTGTTGATCAAATTCTTGAATTGTTTTCTTTCGACGATCGAGTTCTGCCTTGAAAAACAAAAGTCATCCTAAATCTAGTCTTCCTAAACTTACATCGACTGATTCTCGAAATCGTTTTGATTGTCGAAGATCATTTTCTCGAACTTCCTTCGGTCGGTTTCGAGCTGCATGAGCTAAACGTTCATAAGTTCCATTATCGATGACAATTGAACTGGATGTTGGTTCTTCTCGAACACTAAAATTTCAATGAGGATCGAATTTAAGTTTGTTTTCAAGTCAAATATTTACATAATATCACGAATCAGATCTTTTGTGATGTGTCTAACGAATTGCTTTTTAACTGGATGAATTGGTTTTGCGATTAGATTTTCATTGGATTTCTCTTCGTTTTGTTGACGTTCTGATCTCATTTTTGCAGCTGCTTCTAATCGATGCGGTGCACCAAATAGGGTTTCATCGACTTCTGATTGAGCATTGACTGTCCGATAACGATAATTAGTTCCGGCGCGTCGTGCAGTTAAAGGTCCATTGGGAGCATTGGCACCAACTGTTGTTGATGTTGGAGACATGTTGTATTTTTCTACAAAATAAAAAAACAACGATTTCTCTTCTCTTGAATTTGTTTAGTTATCCATTCGCCATTTACAGTGTTCATCAACCTTGCGNGTTCTTAACTTATATAATTCCAATCCGACTGAAGAATCCTTTCGTCATTATGCTCCAAATGCTCAATTCGAGGATCCACTTCAATTCTCGGGAAATCTATCATCAATCAAATCTGCTTTTAAATCTTTACCGAAAATCTTCAAAGACTCGGAAGTGACAAAAAGCGATGCACAGATCGATACAAATCCAATGAAATTGAACCTCGAGACTCGTTACGAATGGAAAGGTATTAACAAAGAAACAGTCATTCGTTCGATCGTTCTATTAACATTGAATGATCACGAACAAATCATTCGCCATGAAGAACGATGGAATGGAGAACCAATTCCAAATGCAGAATCGGGATTTTTTGGAAGAATTAAAGAAGTAAATCGTACAGAAGAATATTTATTCAATGTCTTTTGTTTTTTCCATATTGTAGGCATTGCGTCATGCAACAGGAAGTCTAGTGCATGCAGCAGTTGATAGCGAAAAACCAGTGGAGAAGCACTAAGTATTTAATGAGAATTTTCTGTTGTTATTATATATTCCTGCAAATAATTAGAAGATATTTTTAAACTCGCTGTTTAGTTATATACAACATATAAATAAATGCGTTGATGTAATTCATAGTCTACATGATTGGAATAGAATTCGACCAGAATAGTAAAGCATAAAAGGGCATTGTTTAACGAAGAGTGACATAATAGGAAACTCCAATCTGTTTCATATTAATGAATCAAATATATAAATACCATTCACTATTATTCCTTAAATGAATGTATCAATTGCTTGATGATTCCGATTTTTTCTTTCTCCATCTGTAACGAAATCGTAATTAATAGAATTGAAATCCAGTAATATAGAAATGAAACTTTGAGTTAAGATTAATCGATAAAAATTGCGTAGTCAATATTTAATACAAAGTTTCGATTGATTTTGATGTGAAAGCCATTTGTTGTATGGCTCATTCGAGAATATTACCATTCATCGATCAGATAAAATTAAACAGACAATTACTCATGGGAGTAATAGGATAAATTGAGCAAAACATAGTTTATATTGTTTCGAAATTTACGTTTGCTTATGAAGGTAAACTTCGTCCAAAATCAACAATATCGATCATTTAATAAATTAACAAGAGATAATCCAATAAAATCACGAGAACAAGGAATATTCATTGAGAAAATAAAAGTCACATTTGCTCTGTTCTATTTGGACCGGTGATTACTTCATACATAGTCATAGCGTCTTTTCTTTGTCTTAAACATTTTTCTTTTCAAATAAATATCCAAGTTATTCGATTGAAATCTTGTTTTGTTTAGTAAATTTCCTTTCATCTTTTATTTTATGTTCATATGCTGAAAAATGTCATATCTGTGTGTGATGTATTTTTAGTTTCACAAATCGTTTTGCTTCATTATTTGACAAATTATCCTGAAAAGCGGTTGTAACAGCACTTGTTCATCTTCATCGAGAGGATGCATGTTTAATTGTTCCAAAAATTCTTTTAAATCGTAAACTGAATGTTCAACAGCATATTTTCTAAGATCGATGTTGAGATGAAAGATTCGATTTGTGAATTTCTTCTCCTTGAGATAATTTAACATTTGGACTGGATCGATTTCGAATTCTCGTGATACTTTTTGTAAAATCATATATAATGTTGGATGATTTGATGATATATGGGGAATACCGACTGTTAATGTCGAAAAAATATTGATTTGATCTTCAGACAGATTATTTCGTTGTAATTCTTCAAATAATCGATCTCGAGGTATTGAAAATAAGTCTCTTATCAGAATTTGCCACTCTTGATGTTTTTCCTTGTCGATCCTTCTTATTTCTTGCCCTTCAAGTGCTTGCATTCTCGCTTGAATGCCTTTAATTTCTTCACTCAATTGATCATTATTTGTGCGTAATTCTTCATTCGATTTTACCACTTGATTCACTTGGTCAAACCCAGGTCGCACAATCCCATACTCGGATCCCTTCGGATCCAATATAGGATTTTATCAGATCTTACAGGAATTCGACGGTCTCGGATCCCATGTCGGATCCGAAACATGGATTTCCTGGATTTTCTAAGGGTCATCATAGAACATAACTAAAAAGATCGCTCATAAAATTTGCAACAACCCACGGGATTTTTCTAGTCGGATTCCAATGCAATTCCGTTTCCAGGAATCCGATCGGATTTGTTGACCTGGGAATAAGGTACGATTTTCTTGCAGTACTTTATTGGTTTTTCCCTAAAACAAGTATTCAAAAAGTACGGCATATAAATAAAAGAAAGACATACCGACACATTTTTGCAGACGTTCGACATGATTTGATGGACGCCTTCGAGATATTCGATTAATTCTCGGAAAAACAAATCGAAGGAATCAATAGTCAATGGAGATGTTAAATATTTCTTTTACAACTTTTCCATATACTGTTTTGTTCCATTTAAAAGAATATCGATTTGTGCATCGTAAATAGGATTCGCCATGGATAAGAAATCATATTTATAATAGATTCAATTAAATCGTCCAATAATTTCCCACATTTTTCCCGCTGATGATTTTCTTCGTTAGGAAGTATCTCTTTTAAATATTGATTTAATTCTCAAATGACAGGTTTTGCATGTGGTGCGATAGACGATCCCAGGTTATTATGGCACGGTCGGTTCCGGTCGGAAGTTCAAATGTAGGTTCCAGTTATTTCCCGACCGTTTCCTGCAAACTTCGAGCTGGAAACGGTCAGGAACTGATTGGATATTTCCTGTGCAATTTCGGCCGAAATCCGGCGGCAAGGAACCTGCCGGAACTTGCTGGAATCGGCGAAAACTGTGCCGGAATCGAGAAGAGCTGTACCGGAACCGACTCAGGTTTCAACGGATCCAGTCGCCGGAATGATCGACCTGGGAATGACACGATATGCCGAAAAATAAATAATTGTGCTGGCGATTCAAGGAAACAAATAAGTCAACACACCAGTTATAACATTACATGTCGCTCTACAACACTGACTTCTGTGTGTCGTTTTAATTGACCACTAAATTCTCATGACAATTTCTTGTTATATCATGACATCCCATTTTTCGTTTCAGCTCTTTTCTTCATACATAAGAATGAATATAAAGTAAGATATACCTAGAAAGTACTTCGCAGTTTTGTCAAATAACAGGTATATCTCCGGAATTATTGAAAAAATTTCATTCATTAAATAATTCATTAGCAGAATATTTGAAAGTATATTCTTTTCTGAAAAAATGAAAGTCCAACTTTGAAGGAAAGTCAAAATCGCGATCATGGTTCATTGATCTACTCACATCCTCACTTTCAAACAGAATGTCTTGTATAGCTCAGCAAGAATCAATAGCATCAAATTCTTTATTTCATTTATTTTTGATCGTTTTTCCAAGAAAAAAAGAACAAAATCAAACTTCATCAGTGTGAAGCTAGCACGAAGAAACTGTGTGTAAGCTAAAAACTTTTTTCCAGAGTTTGTCCGGTCCATAAAACCTAGTCCATTCGATTCAGAATTAAATTCTGCATCGAATGGACTAGGTTTTATGGACCGGACAAACTCTGGAAAAAAGTTTTTAGCTTACACACAGTTTCTTCGTGCTAGCTTCACGCTGATGAAATCCCTTTCCTTCAGAATATCAATCCAAATAAATTCATTCCAAAACGCAGTCATTCATGTCTCCAACACTTTTCTCGATAAATCTAAACTAAGAGGTGACTAATCGAGACCCTAATCACACAACATCTTTCACTCCATTCAATTTCCTGAAATGAGTCACAGCAGTTACGAATAAAAATCGTCGCTGGGCTCGATTTCAAACTAACGAGCAACAAACTACTGAGAGATGTTCTTGTGTCTCACCAAAAATACCGAGTGATGAAAGTAGAACTGCTGCATTAATTATCAAACCTAGTACCTATATTAATAGCCGTTTGGCATCAAAATCTCTTCGACTTAGCCCTACCGTGAATAAGTTTCCTCACGTAATCCACAAGAAATTCAAAATAACCAAAATTCCAATGATAGTCGTGTATTCATCAGTTTTACATGACTGTTTCTATCACTCTGTACTTCATAGAATCCAACAACTTATATTCGGGATCTCTTACTTTCGCAACTGACACCTCACCCAAGTGCGTTACGATTGGCGATGTCAATAATGATGCGAAACCTGACATAGTTACGGCAAATTATGATGCAAACACAGTGAGCGTTCTCCTAAATACAGAAAATGGCACATTTGCTTCTCAAACTAACTATACAACTGGCACCAGTCCACACTCAGTTGCAATAGGCGACGTCAACAACGACGCGACACCTGATATAGTTACGGCGAATTATCATGCAAACACGGTGAGCGTCCTACTCAATATAGGCAATGGCACATTTCGTTCTCAAAATACATTTACAACTGCCATTGGCCCATACTCAGTTGCGCTTAGTGATGTTAACAATGATACGAAACCTGATATAATTACAGCAAATTATGATTCAAACTCAGTGAGCGTTCTCCTCAATATGGGCAACGGAACATTTCGTCCTCAAAGTACATTTTCCGCTGGCTCATATGCATACTCAATTGCGATCGCTGATGTTAACAATGATGCGAAACCTGACGTAGTTACGGCGAACTATGCTGGACAATCGGTGAGCGTTCTCCTGAATATTGGCAACGGAACATTCCGCCCTCAAAATACATTTCCAACTGGTATGTATCCATACTCAGTTGCGCTTGGTGATGTTAACAATGACGGGAAACCTGACATAATTACAGCTAATTCTGGTGCAGTCACAGTTAGCGTTCTTTTCAATACAGGCAACGGGACATTTTCTCCTCAAACCACCTTCCCAACTGGTATGTCTCCATACTCAGTTGCCATCGGTGATGTTAACAATGATACAAAACCTGATATAATTACGGCCAGCTATTATATAAGCACAGTTAGTGTTCTTCTCAACATAGGCAATGGCACATTTGTTTTTCAAACTACCTATGCAACTGGTGCACGTCCATTTTCCGTTGCGATTGGCGATGTTAACAATGATACGAAACCTGATATAGTTACGGCTAATTCTGGTGTAGCTACAGTTAGTGTTCTTCTCAATAAAGGCAATGGCACATTCCGCTCTCAAAATACCTATGCAACTGACAGTGATACACAATCAGTTGCGATTGGCGATGTTAATAATGATACGGAACCTGATATAGTCACGGCAAATTCCCCTGCAAACACAGTTAGTGTTCTTCTCAATACAGGCAGTGGCGCATTTTCTCCTCAAACCACATTTGCAACTGGCGCATATCCATACTCAGTTGCGATTGCTGATGTTAACAACGATGCCAAACTCGATATAATTACAGCAAATTCTGGTGCAAACACAGTTAGTGTTTTTATCAATACAGGCAATGGCACATTCAGTTCTCAAAATACATTTCCANGAACTTCATGTTCACGTTGAAGTTCAGCTATGTGCTCATTGGATTTAATCAGCAAATTCACGCTGGTTTCTTGTTCCTGACAATATAAACTTGAATTAATTGAAATACTTACAGATGAAAGATTGTATACCTGCGACGATGCGACATTGTTGTTATTGCTATTGGTAGGAAGACGAACAACTAAAACAATGAATATACCAGCAAGAAAAGCAGCGATGATAAGACCAACAACTAGTTTAGCGATCAATTCGATAATTGATCTTTTGTTTTGTGATTGATTTAACATCGATGAGACAGAGTAAGGTGAAATGGGATTTGAAAAATCAATTTCACTATCAGAATGTAATTCCTTTTGTGATTGAACTTTGTACTGCTGCATTTAACGGTATCAATAAATATACGGAAATGAAGGAATATGAGATCGTTAATCGCGACGATACAATATTTATACTCTTCTACGCCGTTTTTGAGATTTACTTTACCTTGGCTCAGCCAACAACATAAAATGTTCTTGATGAGAATATTTAATATATTCATAATGACTAAGTATTATTCATATTTCATTGTATTTTTCGAATTTGAGAATAATACCGTTAGAGAAAAACAATGTCATCTAATCAGAATATCAATACAAGATGAGAAGCTCCATATCTACATTCGTCTGTACTTGATCAACACGACATTTAAGAAGAGAAGTACACCCGCGGATAACGATGAATAGTTTTAAAGTAAATTTAAAGAAAAAGACCCATGTTGAGGTTATATTTGTTATTTGATATTTTTTATTTTGTTATAAATATGATTAAATTTCAGTATTGAGAAATAAAAAAATACGCTCTTTGAGAACTTGCTGAAGGTGAATGAAATCGTTTACAAGAAATCTGCGTTTTAATAAGTTAAAGACCAACAGTAAATTCTCTCAAACTGTTTACAACAGTGTAGATAACAATTGATATATCTATTTGAGATTTTTGTCCAGATCAGATCGGATATATCTGAGGATTTCCTTGAGAAAGGACGATAGCGTTTTGTGTGATGATCAGAATGTTCGCACTACGATTCTTCTCTGGCATACTTCCTACATGAGTATCTTTGTCAGGACAGAAGCGACATGCGTCAAAAGCAATATGATCATCTCTCGTACCAATCCGCATCTTCATCTTCAAGTTATCAATAAAAGTTCCCACACTGCCAGACACGTATTGTACTTCATGAATGAAACAGCTATATAACATGTTAAAAAGTAAATACCATAGAGGTATTGTAGTAAACGAAAGAAATTTCGTCATGTCAGCTTCGTTGTTTGTTTTATTACTGGCGTTCTGATGGTTGGTTTTGTTTCTGTTGATCGTTCTGTACAGAACGGAAAGTTATGATTTAGAACATGCAAAATGCTTACCGTTTCAATTGAATTCAAAATGTTCGTCCTATGTAGTGTTTAATAGGCGCGAGTGCAAATATGCTACTACATTCTAGACGGCAAATAGCAAGATTTTTAAAATGTTCAGTCCCTCTGTTTATTGGCAGTCTATTGTTATATGTGTTTACTTACGAAGTTCGATCAACGACTAACTACAAGAATGATTCAATTCTAATGGAAAACGTTACTGTCGATCTAAATAGTTCGATTCTATCTTTTCATTCAATGTCCAATGATCCTGAAGTTGAAGATTGTTATTCATTAAAATCCTTGATTATGCCAGAAGAAATTATCGATTTGAATGCAGTTAATCCATCTCATAAACCAATACATCCATCACAAGTTACTAAAGTAGTGACATTCAATCAAGTACACTCGATTCTCTATGGAGATCCATCGACAAAATTAATTTATAATTACACAAGAAAATATTTTCAAAAGGATTTGGATTTATCATATCCACATACTTTTCTTCAAAGAGATTTATTCTTTGGAGTTATTCGAAAACTTCATCAATCTTTGAAAGTTCAATTTGTTGTTGAAGTTGGATCATTTACTGGAAATTCCGCTATTCGAATGGGAAGTATTTTGAAACAATCTTATCCAGGCTCATTTCTTCTTTGTATTGACACTTGGCTTGGAGGTTAACCAATTCTCTTTTTCTTCTTCTTCTTCTTCAACTAATATATTTCTTTATAGATCTAAATATGTGGATAAACAAAGTTGTTTGGAATCACTTATCAGTAAGTGAAGATGGTCGACCAACAGTCTACTATCAATTTTTAGAAAATATTCTGAATGCAAATTTAACGGATACTGTTTTACCTGCATCGATGACATCGTTAACTGGTGCACGATTTCTTCGAACATTTCGATTTCATCCTCAAATTATTTATCTTGATTCATCACATGAACAAGGTGAAACATTGATTGAATTAGCTTTGTATTGGAATCTCTTAGAAGCAGGTGGAATTCTTTTTGGTGATGATTGGATCTGGGCTGCTGTCAGATGTGATGTGAAAAAGTTCTCTCATATTCATAGATTACAAATTGAAGTTGTGAAGAATACTTGGATTCTCAAAAAACCATTTTGAATTTCAAGAATCAAGATAATGACTCGTGGAATTTTTACGGATTCAAATTTGAAATGATCAGCTTTTAATCGTTCATTTTAGACGTCAACGAGGATTTTTATTGAATAATTAAAGAGTCATTTTCGAATCGAAACGATGATATGAAAAGGAAGCAGTGTTCTCTTCTAGCCAGTATTACTTACTGAAACGCCTAGGAAATGTAAGCAAACGAATGATTACGCTGACAGCAAAAATGAATGAAAGCATTGATCTTTTGCAAAGAGCAGTAGGATGACAAATGGTTGGATATTTTGTAGAAGATAATCAAAATAAAAATCTAGTTAACAGAAATGAAGAGATAATACTTGTATCAAGCTTTGACAATCGTTCCGGATATTCTATGATTTAGTCATGTACATAGTGCGCTTTATTTTTGATCTTGTATCCTTTATGACTATGATAAATGATCTATAGGCATGATGGAAGGTACGAACTGTGTCTTCAGATTTCTGTAGAAAAAGAAATGAAGTCCAATTTGCTTTTCTCTATATCGCTATCCAATCTTTGAGAGTAATATCCCTTCTTTACAATTGGACGAGCTATTGCCTGTTTTTTCCGATGAGATAAATAACACTCATCAATTCACATGTTACATTGCAATTATTTTTTCTATCTAATTCTAAATTTTAGCTCGGAGTTTCAATAGCAATAGATGTTACATTTTCTCAGTTATACAGCAACTCCGATATGAGTTCAAATGATGCAATTGCAGATAAAAGACAAACCTTTCCATCTCATTCGTTCGCTCATGATTATTTCGTTAGTGTTGAAATGACGCCTTTTTTAATAAAGTCGAAGAGAACTAAGATTGCAGAAATATTTATTTTCGAAACAGAAGATTTCGTTTTTAACTAAAACATTTTCTAATATAGATCTTTTCAGCTGACAGAGTTTTTGCAAACATCATTAATCTTAACTCAAAGTTTCACTTCTATATTACTGGATTTCAATTCTATTAATAACGATTTCGTTACAGATGGAGAAAGAAAAAATCGGAATCATCAAGCAATTGATACATTCATTTAAGGAATAATAGTGACTGGTATTTATATATTTGATTCATTAATATGAAACAGATTGGAGTTTCCTATTATGTCACTTTTCGTTAAATAATGCCCTTTTATGCTTTACTATTTTGATCGGATTCTTTTCCAATTATGTAGACTATGAATTTCATCAATGCATTTATTTATATGTTGTATATAACTAAACAGCGAGTTTAAAAATATATTCTAATAATTTGCAGGAATAAATAATAACAACAGAAAAATCTTATTAAATACTTAGTGCTTCTCCACTGGTTTTTCGCTATCAACTGCTGCATGCACTAGACTTCCTGTTGCATGACGCAATGCCTACAATATGGAGAAAACAAAAGACATTGAATAAATATTCTTCTGTACGATTTACTTCTTTAATTCTTCCAAAAAATCCCGATTCTGCATTTGGAATTGGTTCTCCATTCCATCGTTCTTCGTGGCGAATGATTTGTTCTTGATCATTCAATGTTAATAGAACAATCGAACGAATGACTGTTTCTTTGTTAATACCTTTCCATTCGTAACGAGTCTCGAGATTCAATTTCATTGGATTTGTATCGATCTGTGCATCGCTTTTTGTCACTTCCGAATCTTTGAAGATTTTCGGTAAAGATTTAAAAGCAGATTTGATTGATGATAGATTTCCCGAGAATTGAAGTGGATCCTCGAATTGAGCATTTGGAGCATAATGACGAAACGATTCTTCAGTCGGATTGGAATTATATAAGTTAAGAACATCGGCAATAATTTCTTCACGAACTTGTCGATTCATACTGACTGAAAGTGACGAAAAATTTCAATAAAATCTAAAGAAATATTTAAATCATCTTTACACTGATTACCTTTAGTTGAAGTTGACTGAGTTGAAAGTGTTATATAACGACTTTGTACTAAAGAACTGGTAAATAATGAAGAACGAGAAGGATTTGATAATAAATTCAAGCAACGAAATGAATTAAACGACCGAATTATTAATGTCATCTACACAGATGAAACTTCCAAAAAAAACAGAAAGATCGAAATAAAAAGATTATATAACTCTCTTCCACAAATTTGTTTATCGATAATAAAGAATAAGTGTAGGTGTCGCTGTTCACCATCAATCATCTTCTCTTTCACTATATTCACGCGAACAAAGTGAGACTTTTATCGAATAACTTGGATATTCATTAGAAAAAAAATCTCACGATGATATTAGATATACATTGTCGAATTAGATTCTCTTATATGTAAACACACTGATAGCAAAACTTTACCTTTTGCAAATGAAAGAATTCATCGCTCAATGATTTAAAAGAATTTTTCGATCAATGAACAAGTACTGTTACAATCAGTTTTCGAGCGAATCTGCCAAATAACAAAGACAAAAGATTTTTAAAACTAACGATACATCACAACACAGAGATATGAGATTGTTCATTGTATGAAAATAAAAAGAAACGCTTCTCAACTAATGAAAGTAGCTATTTTGGTATCGATATAAATGAGTTGACCGAACGAATTATTAATATCATCAATACAGATGAAGCCTTTGAAAGATAGAAACACTGAAATAAAACAATCATATAACTCTCTCTCTCTCTACTTTCAACAATTCGATGATAGATGATAGATGATAAACGATGATAGGAGATGTCGCTCTCTGATCTTCAATCATCTTTGTTTTTCTCTACTAACTCGAACAAAACAAGAAGATTTCACTCGAATAACTTGGATATTTATTTGAAAAGAAAATTGTTCAAGACAAAGAAAAGACGCTATGACTATATTAGGTACACATAATAATAAAATATTTGTTGAATTAGATTCTATTATATCTAAACACACTGATAGAAGAAAGTTGCCTTTTGCAAATGAAAGATTTCATCACTCGATAAGCGAAATATCTGTTTGGTTACATGAAAATACAAGAAGAGTTTATTGTTCAATACATCTGCA